TTTAAATTTTAGCACCCATGTAAAAAAAATCACAAAAGAATATAATTAATTTACGTACTCTCAAAGCCTCTTCGTCCATTTTTTGCCGAAAAGCTAGCGAGAGTATCGACAAAACAAAACAAAAACTAACTCTAGTAATTCTTTCTGATGCGGAAGATCGGACTTAGCCGCAACCACAGAGCATACTTAGAACGAAACTAGAGGAAAGTAAAGGAGGGAGAAAGAAGTATAAGATTTTGGTGTGGTTTGGAATGAGGGGGGGGGGGGGGGGGGAGTGGTATTTATAGGGGAAAGGGGGGAAAGAGCCGCTGGAAAAACTACCAGGGACCAATCACCGCTTCTGACGAAGGCAGTGAAATCTCTGCGTCCAACAAAGGCGGTGATGGCCTGGATAGCTGACGTGGCGCGGCGTGAGGCGTCGGATCGTGGAGAAAAACCACAATCCGCGCCTCACTGCATCCAACGGCAGCGGTGAACGCGCGGGTGGCGCGGATCGCTGACGTGGAAAGCGGGGCTATCACCGCTTTGGTCTTCAGCGGTGAAGTCCCCGCCCGCGTCCACGTCAGCGATCCGCGCACTTTCACCGCTTTTGGATCCAACGGTGAAGATGTTCACCGCGTCTCTAATCTACGGTGAGTTAATCACCGTTATTGACAACAACGATGATAGCATCACTGTTTTTGTCCAAAGCGATGATGCTATCACCGTTTTGGACCAAAACGGTGATAGCATCATCGCTCTGGACAAAAACAGTGATGCTATCACCGTTTTGGTCAAAAACGGTGATTTCCATCACTGTTTTTGTTTGCAGCGGTGATAACCAAACTGCTGTATTTTGGGAAATTTTTTTTTTTTTTTTTTGACAAAAGATAGCTTGTATTACCAAGAAATAAAGATCACCAACGATTACATCTCCGAAAGGAGCCAAGCGCAAAAATCAAACCCTCCGATAAAAGTAGAATACAAAGAAAGGGCCTTCCTAGCCACCCTATGGGCTACCCTATTGTTATCTCTACCCACAAACCGGAGAACATCCACATTCACCGCAGCCAACAAACCCTGGACCTCCTGCAACACTGCTCCCCCATAGCAATCCCACGTACTGCCGGTCAAAATCTTGTCGATAACGACCTTAGCATCCCCCTGGTAGCAGACACCATGCACCCCCATCGCCCGACACCACAAGATTGCCTCCCGGAGAGCTAGCAACTCCACCAGCATCGGATCCATGACCCCCGCCCACCCCTTTCCAACCGCACTAACCACCACCCCATCAGCTCCTTTTAAGACAATCCCCACGGCAGAATGCGATGCCTGACTCACTGCTCCATCAAAGGAGCACACCCAAGACACCCCCAGGGGGGGCCGCTCTGGGTCAACAGGCATCCGTACTCCTTGTGTTTGACTCCGGGCCTCAGCTATCCTCGTCCCCCGCTGCCATTCCTCCACCTGAACCATCCACTGGTTACGCAAAACCTCCCTAGTATATTGGCAGCCCTCAAACACCACCCAATTGCGGGACTTCCACATCCGCCAAAGCAGTGAGACCAGTCGCATAATGACCTCCTCATTAGTCACTTTCTCCAGCAGCCGCCTCAAAAAGATCCCCATATTTTCCCCTGGGAGCCCGACTTGGATATCCTCTAGCCCTGAGTCCGCCCACAAATTCCTAGCCACCGGACATTGTAAGAACAAATGCTCCAAGTTTTCCCCCTCATGCCAACAGACCGGGCACTGCTCCGTCACCTCAATCTCCCGAACAATAAAGGCTTCTGTCGTTGGCAAGATCCTGCTCATGACCTGCCACATAAAAAATTTCAGCTTTGGCTGGATCCCAAGACTCCACAGCTTCCTCCACAAAGCAGCATCCATCCAAGAGGGCTCACACTTCCCCTTCCATCGGGACCCGTTTAGCCGTATTGCCAAGTGATATCCCGACTTAACCGAATATCTCCCCGACCGATCCTCATGCCACACCAACTTGTCCCGAACACGAGATCGGGGAAGAACAATCGATTTAATCGCCCTCACAGTCTCAGGGGTAAAGCAATTGGCCAAACACTCATCGCACCACGTCCCTGGTTCCTCCCCCATCAACCCATCCACCGTGGCACCCTCCCAAAGATGGGCCGAGGGCAACACCAACGGAGGATGCGGGTGACACCCCGGAACCCAATTTGCTGTCATAATCTCCACCTCCTCGCCGGTCCCAACTTGCCAGCGCAAGCCTGCCTTCAACAGCTGTACCCCATGTAAAACGCTCTGCCACCCCCAAGACGGTCTCGACCGGGCTGTCGCTTCCAGGAGCGTTCCATGCGGGTAGTACTTCCCTTTATAGATTCGAGCAAGCAACGAGTCAGGGTCCTGAATCATCCGCCATCCTATCTTAGCTAGAAGGGCGTGATTAAACTGTTCAAACCGACGGAACCCCAACCCCCCTTCTTGCTTGCTTCGACACAATTTTCTCCAGGACATCCAATGGATTCTATCAGTCGAGCCACCCCACCAGAATCGAGCCATATACTTATCCAGTCGACGACAAAGGGTCACTGGAAGCTTAAAACAAGCCATAACATAGACCGGCAAAGCCGCCGCCACCGACTTTAACAGGGTCTCCTTCGCCGCCCAGGACAAATGTCGCTGCTTCCACCCTTGCAGTTTCTGAAGAAGCTTCTCCTCCAGAAACCTGAATGTTTCAGATTTCGACCGAGAAATTAAGGAAGGAAATCCTAGATACCTATCCTGGACCCCCATGGCCCCAACCCCCAATCGAGCTGCCATAGCCTCACACTCCTCCTGGCGAACATTGCGACTGAAGCAAACCGCCGATTTTGCCAAGTTCACCCTTTGACCACTCAACTCCTCATACTCTCCCAACACTTGGAGTAGGTTCTCACACTGCTGCATCGAGGCCTGTACAAACAGATAAGAATCATCTGCGAAGAACAGATTACTCACCCTAGGCGCTTGCGGACTCACCCGCACCCCCGTTAACCGCCTTTCCGCCACTGCTTTTTTAATCAATGCAGTCAATCCTTCCGTACACAAAACAAACAGCAGGGGAGATAATGGATCCCCCTGCCTTAGGCCACGGGATGATCGAAAATACCCCGCAGGCATGCCATTCATCATTACGGAGTAGGATGACGACGAGATACATTCATGAATCCATCGAACCCACTGCTCCCCAAACCCCAGCTTTTTCAAGAGCGAAAGTAAGAATGGCCACTCGACCCTATCATAGGCCTTTTCCATATCAACCTTTAGTGCCATGTAGCCCTTCTTCCCTTTCGTCTTAATTTTAAGGTAATGCATGATTTCATGTCCAATCAACACATTATCAACAATCTGTCTCTCCTTGATAAAAGCATTTTGCTCGGGAGACACCACTGCTGGTAACACCACCGCCAGTCGGTTTGCTAAGATTTTCGAGATAATCTTATAAACGACCTGGCATAAGCTGATTGGCCTTAGTTGTCGCATCGTATCTACCTCTTCCACCTTAGGAATTAACGTAATCCAAGTGTGGTTAAAGCTTCGGAGGAGTTTCCCATTCGCAAAAAAGGACCCAACAGCCTCAACCACCAAGGGCCCAACTATATCCCAAAATGAGCGAAAAAATTTAGCCGTGAACCCATCAGACCCCGGCGCCTGCGTCGGCCCAATTGAAAAAACCGTTCGCCTGATCTCGTCGGCCGTGACCGAGGCAACCAGCATATGGTTCATTTCAGTCGTGACCAGCCTCTCCACAGGCAGCGCCTCCACCCTGGCATCCACATCTATAATCTGGTGTTCAGACGTGAACAACTTATCAAAAAACTCGACCGCCATCTTAGCTTTCTCCGGCTCCTCCTCAACCCATTCACCGTCCTCGCTCCAAAGTTTGGCAATAAAATTCTTCTTACGTCGAGTCCGCGTGACCGTATGGAAATACGAGGAATTCCTATCCCCCTCCTTCAACCAGCGCACCCGGGACTTTTGTTTCCAGTAAACCTCCTCCGCTGCCCATTGTCTTCCCAATTCTCCCTCCAACTCCCTGATCTTATCCCAATCCACTGGAGCAACGCGCCGGACCACCTCAATCTCATCTTGTAGAGCCCGTATATTTCTTGCCGCATTGGACACCCCTGCCCGGGCCCAATCGTAAAGCATATGCCGGACCTTCTTCAGCTTCGTCCACAGCTTGTACATGGGCGACCCCGCCTCCTCTTGCTCCCAAACATACTTGACCATCAGGCGCACCTCCGGGTTATCCACCCATCGGGCGTCAAAGCGGAACAACCGCCGGCCCGTTCTCTTAAACGGTTTATCAGCTACAATGAGCGCCCGATGATCGGAGCCAATATCCGTGCAATGGAGTACTAACGTGTCGGGGAAGGCCTCTGCCCAGCCCGCAGACCCTAACGCACGGTCTAGCCTTTTTTGCACACACGCGGCCCCCATCCGCCTATTCGTCCACGTGAACAAAGGTCCCTGGAATCCGAGATCCCGCAAGGCCAGCGCATCCACAAAATCGCGGAAATCCTGGGACTGAGCGGGTGTCCACAGCACACCCCCATCTTTTTCATTTGATGATAGAATTGAATTGAAGTCCCCCACGATGATAAAGGGGTCAGAAATCCCCTGACAATACACACGGAGGGCCTCCAACTGCCCTTTGCGCACCGTTTCAACGCAACTAATGTAAACACACACCACTACATACGGAACTTCCATATTATTAATCCGAACCGAGATAAAAAAAGAACAACTAGAAAGAACCGACGCACAAATGCTCGGGGACCACCCTACCGCTAAGCCGCCAGACATATCAACGGCATCGACAAGAAAACACGAATCTACATCAAACCCTAAACCTCGCATACGACGAGTGACAACTTTCCGACGAGACCTGGTCTTCGACAAGAACACCAAATCCGGATTATTAACTCTAACTACACCTAAAATTGATTGGAACGTGAGGGATGGCCCAATCCCTCTCACGTTCCACGACACTAGTCTCATTTAATCGATTGGGGCCATTTCGGGCTGGCTACCTCCACCGTCTCCACTGGCTTCGCACTTGACTTTTCCGCGCAAATTTTCTTCGTCGGCGTCGGATCCCGCGGCAGATCCTCCACCATGTCCGCTGCCCTTTTGCGATCGTCCAGCTCGTCCTCCGCAATCGCCATCCTGAACACTTCCGCTAGTTTGGGCAGGTTGGATCCATACTCATTAGCAACTTCTGCGGCCACCTCCAGCACCACCGGCTTCTCTCCCACATCCTGTTTCTCCATCCCCGCCTCGGACCGGTCTCCATTTCGATTTGCATTTGCCTCCCCCGTGGCCTTATTATCAATCATCACTTCCTCCCCACACCCCGCCACTTTAGCTGGCCCGCTGCAGTTGGGCCCAAAGCCCACATCCTTCCCCAGGCTTGCACCCGACAGCCCACTGCTCGGCTTCCCCACCAAATCACGATCCCCCTTCTGCAGCTTGCCCTGGGTATCACGTCCCTCATCAGCTCCCTCTTCCTTCCGTAGCTTCCCCTTCTCTCCCCCCTTTGCTACTTCCCCTTGCTCCTTGGCCGCCATTGGAGCTCGCCCCCCATTTGACAGAGGATTCTTCCCGCGACCAACAGAGGGTGCCGCCTTATTCTGCCTCACCGACTTCGGCCGATGCCCTGCCTCCTCCCCCTGAGACCCGCGGCCAGCCTTCAAAGGTGCTGCTGATCCCCCTGTGCGAATCGCGTCTCGAGCCCCCGCCGCCAGCATCTTCCCCTGCGCCCCTTTTGTAGCCTGCTCTCCGCCGGCGGGTATCGCCAACACCGTATCCCGCCACACCCCCTTCTCCTCTGCCTTCCTCTTCTCACCGCGGGCTGCTGCTGTGTTGGCCGCCTGATGCCCCTTTGTTTTGGGATTCACCCACACCGACTGTGGTAGCAGAGGGGCACTGAACTGCGCCGCCTTGAGCGTCTCTTCATTGAGTCGGAATCCAACCTCAGTCGTCGCCATCTCCTGACTGTATCGCTCTTCCCCAATCGGCGCCGGGTACACACAATTCCTCTCCATATGCCCCAATCTGCCACAGTGAAAGCAGAACAGGGGGAGGAATTCATAGGCAAATGTCACCCAGAATTTCCCAGCAACTTCATTGCTCGCCCAGACTTGTGATCGCAACGGCTCGAGGACGTTGATCTTTACTCGTGCCTTTACGAACTGGTCCGATTCTCCTTTCACCCCGAACAGCCCGACGTCAATCACCTCGCCTAGCTTCATCTCCGCAACTCTTCTCCCAAATGCAATTGTGCGGCAGTGGGATGGAATTCCCCACATCTGCACCCCAAATGGTGCGAATCCTAGCGATTCAAAGACCTCCTCTGTGACTGGCGCCCATCGCTGGAGGTGCAACACCCGATCCTTCACTGGCCATGGCGTACGTTTCAACACCCATTCCATGTCCTCCGCATCGTCGAACAGGAATTGGAGTAGCCCCATCTCAGCCTCCAGTACCTGCACCTTCTTACGACATTCCCACGCATTTGTTACGATCTTGTGAATCACCGAGAGGCTCGGTCGGTTCTCGATGAACAATCTCCCAAGTAGACTCATCTTCGCCCTTTGCATACTCACAGCCACATCCTCAGTTGAGAATTCCACGACCTGGTCTTGGCATATGCACGCGTCCGCCATTGCTCCCTGCCCTAGCTGCTCGTTGTTTCTCTTCTGTTTTGTGTCACCCATTCTCAATTTTAACGATAGGTTAATCTCACGGCCAACTCTTGCTCGCTGTAAACAATTCACCAGCCAGCCTTTGTATTTCTTTTGCACGAAAAGGCTGCTGAACAGTTCTGCCAAATTTATAGAGGCTCCTAGAGTCCTAACCCAATTTGGGAACCTGGTAGGATCCAGGAGAATAACCAAAGGATTTAATTTTGTACCAGACACGCACAGGGATCTGCCCTGCTTCTCATCCCAATCCCCCAACGGCATTCGGTTAAGATATATCTTCCTCCTGATTTCGAAATTAAACAACTCAATATTATCTATATCCCGAACAAATTGGATACTGCGGATTTTCCGCCAACCACTCCACGTCAGCTCCAGTGTCCGATCATCATCTCCGATCACCGGATTTACGCTCTGGTCATCGATTTGGCCCCATACCCCATCAGGGCGTATAGTTGTTCGCCAATCTTGAAGGTTCTTTCTACACATTACCGATACATATGTTATCCAGGGGCACCATCTCCGGTCCCTAGCCTCCTGTCGAGGATCACTATCCCGCCCATGTCTACCTTCCGTCATCAAGAATTCGCCTCCCCGTGCGTCTTCCAGCCAACGTTGTTTTGCCGCCGTGCGCAGCATAGGGCCATCATTTTGCCTATACAGCAACCCTTTCCACAGCCATTTTACCCACCGATTCAACGTCGCCCAGCCCTCCATGGCTTCATCCTGCGAAAACCAAATGGAGGCGATTATGGACAGAGGGTACCATTTCCGGTCCCTAGATTCCTGTCGGGGATCACTATCCCGCCCGTGGCTATCTTCCGCCATCAAGACTTCTCCGCCCCGTGCGTCTTCCGGCGATCGTTGCTTTGCCGCCGTGCGCATCCTAGGGCCAGCATATTGCCTATTCACCACTCCCTCCCACAGCCATTTCTCCCAACGAACCAACATCTTCAGGCCCTCCATGGATTCATCCTTCGAAAACCAAATGGAGGTGATGAGGGACAGAGCAATGGCAATGGGGGCGGTTGCTCCGATTACTCCTACTGTTTTCCATAGGAGAGAGGACAGAGCATTCAACATTTTTTTTTCACCCGTTTAATTAAAACTCATTTTTTTGGGAAATATTTTTATAAGTATTGTATTTTGGGAATTTTTTTTAATAATAAGTGTATTATTGGATTTTTTCCGCGGAAGTACTCCAATACTTTGTCCCCCTCGCTCGGCGGCTTCCTCTCGTCGGTTCTTCATCCCCCTCTTTGCCTGCTATCTCTCAGAATCTCAAATCCTTCCATCTTGACTTGATTTCGTCTCCACCCATTCCACCAAATTTTCTTCCGACCCAATTTCCGGCGAGTGCTGAGGCTTTGCTTTCCCTCTTCCCTCATTTGTGGCTTCCTGTGATCGTCTACTTTACACCGATTGCACCGTCAGTGTTGCTCTGCAACAGAGTAAACATGTGAATGGAAGAAAGAAAAGCAAAGGAATCGGGACCGGCTCTTTCCACGAAGCCCTAGTTTCTCCCTTCGTCGTGTAAAGTGTTGGGTGGGTTAGAAGAAATTGTGAATTTACCCGAGTTTTCTGACGGAGAGCTTTCATGTCTGACCCGCCGAACGACGGTGACAGCTTCATATGGCTATGGCTCATGGAGTATCTAGCAAGCTTCCCGGAGACAGACGCTTCGCTTCTCCATCGTGCGTTTTTTGGGGGTTTCTTTCTCTTGCTGTCATCGTTACTTGGGTTTTGGAGAGGGGAAGAATTTTGTTGAATGGTTTTGTTTCTTTTCCAGAATTGATAGAGCAAGCACCAGCTTCCTCCACTGATTTCAGAAGCGCTAGGGAAAGGGTTGCTCTAAGGTGCTTGGAGGACTTGTATGCTAGCACAAATGCTGTTGCTAATGGGGCTCCATCTGCTTCAGAGCCTAAGGTGGTAATCGATTTGTCCAACAGCTGCGAAGATGTGATCCAAACAATATTGCAGGAGGTAATCATTCGGTAATTTTTATTTGGAAACCATGCTTCTTTTTTGTAGAATACTTACATGTGTGAGTTTACCGGACAATGTGTTGTGTAAGTTAGAAAGGAATTGAGTGTGTGTTCTTGTTCCTCGGTGATCAGATGTCGATTTCAGATTTGGAAAAGGGTGGACCAGAGCTGTTGAAATGGGATATTCAGCCTTTCATTATGCACAAGAAAGCTTCCATGCCTAAATGTGCTTTAGAGCAGGTATAGTCTGTGGGAATGTTTGGTTTTTGTAAGATCCTTATTAGTGGAGAAGATTATCTGTTTACAAATATTGGTCCTTTTTCATCTTCCTGGCAGATAAAAGAGACAATAGTTAAAGGTTCCTACGCAAGCGCTACTTTGTTGGCCAAATTTAGTGGGTTGCTGCGTGAAAATGAAGATGGTAATAAAACTAGTATGGATGGACATCAATTTGAGGGGCACAGGAGGATCGACAATCAATATGGGATGTCAATAGGGAAGTCAATTTCTCAGTCGCGAGGAAATGAGCAAGGAGCACTATCAGAAGATTTGCATGACTGCAATATGTTGTTATCATCCAGAGGTGATGAAGTTGATAATAACCATGGTGCAGCGTCTTTGGGTGAGCAAGGACGTTCTTATAATGGTGATGATCGCCTAGTAGATACTGAGAGATTTCAGCAGGACACATTACACAGTAATATGGACTGTGATAACAATTTGGTGAAAGACTCTTGCAGAGGTAAGGTTCAGATAACTGAAAAAGAAAATTGTCATTCAGAAATGGAATCTCTAAGGGGAGTCAAGGGGCGTGAAAATTCAAGTAATGCTGGCAATATTTCTGGCGAGACATCCGGTCAGTGTATTCAGGCTCCCTCGGACGATAGACAGGAGGACAATCGATGTGAGGCTGATTGTTATATCAACAAAATGTCACAAGGTAAATCAGATATGCTTCAAGAAATGATTGTTAACGATGAAGCTAATGAGTCTGAACCTAGAATACCAAGTGACACAGCCCTGAAGGAAAGTCACCAAGATGTCTCTCGTGATGACCACAATGGTGGAACTAGTCGTGATGAAGAGCCAAAAATAGGTGATGGTCTAATAGTGAGTGGATTGACCAGGAGTTGTAATGTCGAGGAAGAAAATGGACATCTATCCGAAGAAGCCCCACAAAGAGATACTGGTAAATGTGCTCACAAGAGAGTTAATGATGACACAATGAAAAGCAATCCTCTGAACTCGCAAGGTCTGCTGAGTAAGGAGTTTATGGCTGCAGCAGATTTTTCAGGGTTAAATCTCTGTTTGAAATGTAGCAAAAATGGCCAGTTGTTGTGTTGTGGTACAGATGGTTGCCCTTTGGCTATTCATGAAAGCTGCTTGGGTTTTACACCAAGTTCTGATAATGAAGGACAATTCTGCTGCCCCTTTTGTGCATATTCTCTTGCCATTTCAGACTACAAGAAAGCTAAGGAAAGGGCATCTGTGATGTTGAAGCAACTAAGTGCATTTCTTCATGAAGGTCCAGAGAATCCATCAATTGAACATTCTAAGAGCTCTTCTGAAGATGGGATTAGGAATCCAGGGAAGAGAGAAGGCAATCAAGCAAATAATGGAGAAGATGTCGATCAAGGCAATGACTACCAATTTCAGAACAGAACAGATAGTGTACAACTTGAGGCTGTGCCTGCCCACTGTGTCAGCAATCACCCTACTAGTGAACAGGATCCAGTGGATTCTCTTTGCGTTTCAAGAGGTATTTCGGAAAGTGAGATCAAAGGAACAACGCAAGCTTGCCCATCAGTAAAAGTACCTGAAAGAAAGCAGGACCTAGATCTTCCCGAGCTCTCTTGCCGTGGTAATAATATATCACATGAAAAGAAAGATGTGAATTCGGAAGAATCGGGGCAAGTTAAAGGGCCAACTGAGAAGGAAGTTCCAGAAAAAATTCTAGAGCACAAACTTGTGATGCCTATTCGTGCTGTCCCGATGGGTAGAAGAGCCTCGAAAAATGAAAATGATAAAGCTATGAGCCCTAACCAATCCTTGATTTTGAGGAAGAGAAAAAGGTAATAGTAAGTTTTAGTAATTTGGTTGTTGATCCTAATTCCTAGATGGTGGTTGATTTGTTTATTAATATTGGTAATAACCTTAATCGACTTGGTTGTTGAACTTTTTATATATTTGTCACCTTTGAACATCTTATCTATGTGTGTGGTGCATTCTTCATGGCTGTTATCATTATCAATCAATCTAAACCTCATCATCTGAGCAGGAAGGATGCGGTTTCTTCACCAAGACGACAGGCAGTTAAATGGACAGCACAGGAAGAAAAGAAGCTAAAGGTTACCAATCGGTCAACTTTCATGAGACTTGTCCTGTTGTTTCTTCAACATGTCATTTTCCTTGTTTAGCTATCTCTTTTAGCATGATTGATGTTGTTCTTGCTGCACTGCTCCAGGAAGGGGTAGAGAAATTTTCCAACAAGGGAAATATTCCATGGAAGTCCATATTAGAGTATGGGAAGTCTATTTTTGGTGATATTCGCAACCCAGAGGACCTTAGGAGTAAATGGAAGAAAATGTGTAAAGGACAGTAACAGTCATCAGCCAGCCTGGTAAGTTTCAACTCAATTTTTCCTCCATTTTTTTTTCTTCTTTCTTCCGCATATACGATTATAGACTTCTTCATTCTTTCTGATAGTTGGAAATTCCCGAGATAGATCTCATCGTGATTGTTGCGGAAGCTAAAGTGCCACCTCGATATCCACATTTGTTAACTTCTGTAGCTTGAAGGGGTTTATACTAGAGAATCTGAGCCCGGAAGAAGCTGTTTTCCTTTTAATTTGATGAAGGATTAGCTTTTCCCTCGTGTGGTTGCTTTTCTTTTCTTCTGCATACAGGCTGATGTGAGTCTACCATCCCTAAACTCCACTGCAGGTTGGTCAAGGATATGTTTGTGGTTGCTGCAGTTCAATAAGCTTTTTTAATGGGAAAACTCTGGGAGATGTTTGGAAAGCTGACGATACTTCTGTGGAGCTATGAGATCGTCCCTTTTCCTTCTCAAATCAATATGTACAAATTTGCAGGTTTTCATTTGTGATCAATCTTCGTTGCTTGGTCAGTAGAGGTAGAGATGCTATACAGTAATATGATCCAAGTTCTCGCTTCAGTAATGGTTTGCTGGGTAGGAGGCTTTTTGACCAATTTATTTGACAGCAGTAATAAGGATATTGCCACTGTGCGTTGAGTCTGTGTATAGTGCTAGTTGGATAAGCAGGCATGGGTGTGCAACAAGAACATGTGAATGTTTGAATGCACGGACACTAACTTGTGTATTTATCATCCATACCATGGTAACCGGTAAGCCCGCGATTGAGTCTCGAACTATGTATCTCTTGTCACTTTTTTGAGATGGATGAACGGGGTACTACTATTAGTTTTGAACTTGAAAAATCAGACGTTCGAATTTCTTCAATATCATTTAATTATAAAAAGCGGCTAAATTACAAGTTTGGTCACTTGAATTATATAAATCTTTCACATTTGTCATCCAAATTACTTTTCTTTCTTATTTGTCACTAACTTTACAAATCGTTTCACTGTTGTCACTCGCCGTTACACTCCGTTAAATTTATCTTACATGGCAGTCAACTATAAAGTTTGACCGTTAACTAGATGACGTGGATATTAAAAAAATTAAAAAAATAATAATTTTCCACCCTATATTCCAATTTGTTTATAAGATTTATCATATTAATTATTTAATTAATAAATTATAAAAATAAATCATAAAAACTAGACAACTATTCCTCTTCTTCATCTTCGTAATTCCACGCCTATCAGCTCCTCAACTCCCGCAGCAGCAGCCCCTCTCCCCCATCGCTTCCCCAGCCCCTAAAACTTTGATCTCCTCCGCTACGACTCCCGTCTGCGCTACGAATCCCTCTTGATTGGAATCTTGTTGGGAGGATTAAGTGGCATCAGAAAGATAGACGAAGGGTTGGTGAAGTCAAATCAAGTGAAGGAAAGCGACGACGACAGAGATATCCGGCGGTTGAGCTGCGTATGCGACGGTGATGGGTTTTTAGTGGTGATTTCCTCGAGGACGCCTATCTAGAGGAACCCTCCAAGGGAGAAGCGGGGGCAGCCGACGACGGCTGTTCTCCGGTGCTGGTGGAGGAAATGGTTTTGGGGGTTGTTGTCGGAGGTGGGTGAATCGATATCCAAGTGACAAGAAGGTGGAAGGGAGGCCGGCGGTCGCGATGGGGGAGGCGGGGGAAGGGGAGAAGTTGGTCTTTGTCGTAGTTGATGAGCCGCTTGGCGTCGTAATTGCGAAGAAGTTTTGTTTTAAGGGATAATTGCGAAGAAGATGAAGAAGAGGAATAAGAATAGTTAGTGGATAATTAATTTTGGAATTAATTAATTATTATTAAATAATTATTATGATAAATCAACAAAGTTAGTGGAATAATGAGGTGAAAAAATATATTTTTTTTTAATTTCCACGTCATCTATTTAACGATCAAATTTTATAGTTGACTGTCACGTGGGACAAATTTAACGGAGTTTAACGGCCGGCGACTAACGGTGAAATGATTCGTAAAGTCAGTGGCAAATAAGAAAGAAAAGTAATTCGGGTGGCAAATGTGAAAGATTTGTATAATTCGAGTGACCAAACGTGTAATTTAGCCTATAAAAAGCATATAAGAGATGCATAAGTTTACAAACTTGTGACTCATTAAATAATTAAAAGCACAAACACTTTTCACTGTTTCCTAAGAAAAAATAGGCAATTTTTTCTCCACGAGTACTGTTCACAATGAGGTTTTATCCCATGTACCCAATTTTACCATAATCTTTTTCCCCCTCTTTTTCACTAAACTATTCATATGAGTTTTATTCACTACAACCAATTCTAAGATAAGTCTAAAACTCATATGAAATTCTACGATAATTTTTTTCTCTACATTCAATATAACATTATACAAACATTTCGTAGATGCATTGTTGCTTACGAAAAAAGTAGGTCAACATAAAAATGAGTTCCGATTGTACTATTTCCATAGAGGGTTTATTCCATACATCAAATTTATTGCAAGTCTTTTTTAAGTTCTTCTTATGAACTCCTAAGTCTTCTTCTATTACCAGATGATTTAAATTTTACTAATATTAATTCTAACATTTACCATTTCATCAATTTAAGTACACCCATTTATTATTTTATTACTTGATTTTACTATTAGATCGCACTTTATGAAATATTTATGTACTATTATAAATTTCAGAATCTTATCAATTTACGTAACATAAAGGTTTCACAAATAAGTCAACTTTACATAAAAATAATCAATTGTGACATTTTTTTAATTTGATGTTAATAAGACAAAAATTGCTAACATTGTTCTATTGAATATTACCAATACATTATGTAAAATTCAATTTTCATTTACAAAAGTTCCCTAAATCAATCAGCTTTACGAGTAATCAAATGTGACACTTTTTATAACTTGAAATTATCATTAGACCAAATTGCAAAGAATCCATGTAACACTATTCTATCGTAAATTACCAATACATTATGTATCTCATCAATCTGTAATACACAAATGGTTTGAAAGGTAAGTTACTTTTACCTAACAGAGCAAGATGCCCGTCATTAAGGTCGTCTCATGATATTCGGAGGCCTTATTCGACCATTTAAAATATGGCCCCAAAAATGACATTTTCAGGCGATTTTCCCGAAATGACATTTTCTCTAGATTTTGGAGGCTACGGATCACAGATTGGGCTAGAGGCTATTCTCCACCAATGGTGAAGTCTATGGATCCTGTTCTCCACAGACGATTAAGTCCATTAAGCAACAATTTGGGGAAATTACTTTTAGGTTGTCATTTTTGGTTTTTTTTTTTTGCGATTTTTTTTCGAAGGGCCATTTTACTTGGATTTTGAAAACTACAGATCACAGATTCGGACTGAGACTATTCTTCAAGGATGATTAAGTTCATTAAACACCAATTTGGGCGAATTCATTCCGCGTCAAGTTTTGTCAGATTTCAAAGGGGTACCATCACAGAATTCGGTCAATTTTCCCGAAATGACATTTTCTTTCGATGTTGAAGACTACGGATCACGGATCGGACCGGAGGCTATTCTCCACGGATGGTGAATTCTATGGATCCTGTTCCTCACTGACGATTAAGTCAATCAAGCAACAATTTGGGCGAATTACTTTTAGGATGGCATTTTCGTAAATTATTGGGAGCTTTTTTTCCCGAAGGGCCATTTCTTGGGTTTTAAATGCTACAGATTATAGATTTGGCCTGAGACTAGTGTAACTTAAGAAGTGATTGACGTGACAAGATAAGAAAAATTGTGTTAGTGATAAAACTCACAAAAACCACATCTATACACCTTGTGACAAACAATCTAATTTAAACATTAATCCTCTACCACACTGCATTATCGAATTGTACAAAATCAAGACAATTAGACAATGGTATACATATACTTCAATTAGGTTCAATTTGATACAGCAACCCAACTATAAAAAAAAAAAAAAATCAAGAGAACTTTGAATATCATCTAAAGAAATTTTTCTTGAATATCATCTCAACTTACGTAGATTATTGATAAAAGTTGAAATTTAAAATGTATGGAAATTTTATATTAAATTAAGGGCTAGTGAAATTTGATCCAAAAAACAATTGCCAAACCTCTTATTTCAATTTAATACTCATAATAATAATAATAATAATAATAATAATTTAATGATGGCATAAGTTTCAAAGTGGAAAAGAAAAATAAAATAGTTATTTGTTGAACAAATTAAAAGCTAGATTAGAGCATAATCGTATTGGAGCTAGCTTGTCGGGGTTGGTGTAGTTCGTTGGTTCGGCCGCTGCGCTTTTAATTTCAGATTTCGTTTTCTTGGTGTTCAGAAGAGTTGGGGGTTTTAGAGTTTGATTTGAATGTGAGGGGTTGCTGTTGAAGTTCTTGGGGAGGATATCCGTGATGAAGACGGTGGAGTTCCAGACAATGGAGTTGGATCCATTGTCGATGGGTGAATCGTGAGTTGTTTTCCGAGCAAGAGGAAGTTGGAGTCGAGTTGGAAGACGAAACGCAAACAGATAGGGGCAGGGGTGGACCTATGGGTATTTAGGGACGCCCCTAAATTTTGGAAGATCGATTATTCAATTCGGTGGTAATTTACGTATAGACAAAAAAAAAATTATAATTAATAGTCCGGGATACTCTGAAATTTGAAAGAACGATTATCCTACTCTCGTTTGTAGTTTGCGTATGAGAATATAAGTGATAGTTTGGGTAATTCAAACATGGGACACTACTATTACTAATAAATATAATTTACATTAGACTACAACTTTTTTGTTGTTCTATTCTTAACACCGTGTAATAGCAAAACCCTATTCTCTATCTTTAATTATTTTCAAAACCTAATATTAATCTAATTACAAGCTACCCTTAATTTGTATTGATTTTATGGTTGTACGGCAAGTGTTAAATTGTCTTTTTAGCTTTGAGTTACATAAAAAACAATTTTAGAAGTCATATATGCGTCAATTCGTGAATGATTGTCTAGTAGCATATACCGAGACAAATTTCTTGAGCAGTGTAGACACCAAGTGTATTTTATAATTTTTTAGAATATGAAAATACATCATTGACTTTTTTAACTTGTACGAGTTGGATATTTTCTTATTTAAGAATTATAGAATTTTTATTAATTATTAATGATTTTACTTTTATTTTACTTTATTTTTTGAAAGAGGACACCCCTATGTAAAATTTCTGGGTCCGCCACTGGATAGGGGGAGAGAGAGAGTAGAGGGGAAAAGAAAGGGGGTTGATTAACAGGTCGATTTATGGGTTGGGTTGTGTATGACGTCACAATTTTTAATGACATGGCGGATTGAATTTTAAAATTTTTGGGTTAAAATTGGTTGATTAGATATTTCTGTTAAACATGTCAGCAAAAAATAATACCGTTAACGGATACTAACAAAAAGTAACGGAAATTGACCAAACATAACACGTTACTAAGTCTAATAACCAAAAATAGAATTAAATATTTTTAGTGATAAAATATGAATGTTTTATTAATCTCAGTGACCAAACTTACAATTTACCCTCAAAAAGTTGATTTGACGGCTGCGCCGCGCATCGAGACCTCTGTTCCGGAGTCAGAGACACCGAAGAGTATATTTCTCTCTCTCTCTCTCTGCACAAAAGATATCAATATCATATTTTACTACTGCGCTCTCAAAAACCTTCCCATTCCGTCTCTATCTCAAGAATCCGCCGACGTCTCTACCTCCTTCCTTCCGCCATTTTTGCTTGTCTCCCTCCCTTAGCTACTACTTGTTTAACCACTGCTACAATTCCGTTAGCCGTTCAGTTGATTGCTCAACTATCTGGTAAACTCTCCCCTTGTTCTTCTCGCGATTCCTATTTCCTCCTTTCTCCTCAGTTATCTTGCGTCATTTTCAGTCGATATTCTTTCCATGATGGCATTGCTGAATGATCCGTTTCGTATATCGGCACCGGTTCTTGATTTTCCAATCCTATTTTTTACCCCGACGAGTTTAGTAGTTTTCTTTATCATTTGTCGCCGTCAGTGGGCGTGAGTTTCTTTTCCTCCTGGCTGTCTTTGATTTTGATACACTGGTGGTAGATTCGCCTTGAAATGCTACCTCATTGTTTCTGTGTTTTGTTCTTGTTCTGGTTATGTGATGAACTATTTTCTGGAAGAACGATATTGCGTTTGGTTTGGCTGAAGCAGTTTTTCGAATTTCTTTTTCAATTCCCGTTTGTTAGCAGTTCGCTGTAGATTTTGTTTTGTTCATCAAATGTTTGCGGCCTGGACCTTCCCCGGTTTTTCTTTGTGTTGTTGTTGTTGTTATTGTTTTTGCTACTGAACTTGGCAGCTGGTGGTGAAAGGAAGCCATGGGGTTTGACAAAGGGCAGAGTAAGGTTTCCGGAAGGCTTCCCCTAGTTGGTGCGATCTTTATGTGTAATCGTGCTACAATGAGAGAATGTTTTCGACGCAAACTCTTTGGCCTTCCATCAGGGAAAGCCGATTTCGTAGGGCATGTCAAGGCTGGCATGATTTTGTTTCTTTTTGAGTATGAGAGGAGAGAGCTCCATGGTGTGTTTCGGGCGATATCTGATGGGTCCATTGATATTGTACCACATGCGTATAGTGATTCCGGGATGCAGTTCCGTGCACAGGTATGCATTGAATGTGTAACACAATCATCTTCTTTACTGATTTTCATTGATGTGTTAAGCTAGTTATATGGGATTGGACAAATCCAGAAGGTGGTTATATTTTGGTCTCGAAGGTTGATCATCGTCCAACTAGTTTCATTCAACTGCTACTTCCTGTGTTTATTTCCATCCTTTGGTTCTAGGTAAGGTTCACTACTATTTTGAGGTGCAGTCCACTTTCAGAGGATGAATTTTCTGGAGCAATCAGAGAAAATTACTTCTCCCCAAATAAGTTCAACTTTGGATTGAGTGAAAGACAGGTGTGTTCTTTCTCCGTAGCGAAAGAACATTATGCATCTTTCAATGCACTTAGTAAACACGAGTTTGTTTGTGAATTCGGTTGCAGGTCGAAAAACTTCTTCAACTGTTCAGCTCAAGTAAGTTACAGCGGCAACTCCATCATAGAAAATCTCCACAAAACAAAGTTAGAAGATCTTCAACTCCAAATTATGTGAGTTCACCCCCTGAAGGAGAAATTGATGGTGGTTACAGCAACCTTGGCGGAGAAAGATACGAGCAAAATGTTGTTCCTGGTTCTAGGTCAGTCCGCTCCCCCGAATATTCAGAAAACACAACCAATTTTATTAGAAGAGCAATGGATGAGTATGCAAGCATTACTATAGGAAATGATCGTAGATTGAACGGTGGTTCTTATGTGCCGGTTACCCCTATAGAAGACGTAGGGGACTTGATTGTCAGCAATAATGTAGCAGTAGAAAGACCAGTTCATCAGGAAAACTGGCAGTCAACTGTAGGGGATTTCAGAAATGAAATTAATGCAAATTTTGTCCATAGCCTGGATGGTGGAAGCCGGTTTTCTGAACCCATTTTAGCTACAGATAGAAGAAGAGGTTCCAGAACTGCTGATTATGACCCACCCGTCTCGAGTGAGCAGCGACCTGGTGTGTTTCAGTATCCTAATCCACCTATGCATGGCAGCAACTCAATATACAAACCAAATTTCTTTGTTGGTAACGATGTCCAATGTACTTCTACAGATAGAAGATTAGCTTCCAGAGATCCTGGTTATGACTCGCCTATCTCAATTAGGCAGCAACCTGGTGTGTCTCAGTATCCTAATCCACCTGTGTATGACCTCCAACATATTTCTACGGGTAGAAGAACAGGTTCCATGGCTCCTGGTTATGACCCACATGTCTCAAGCGAGCAGCAACCTGGTGTGTCTAAGTATCCTAATCCACCTGTGTATGACCTCGAACATATTTCTACGGGTAGAAGAATAGGTTCCATGGATCCTGGTTATGACCCACCTGTGTCAAGCGAGCAGCAACCTAGTGTGTCTCAGTATCCTAGTCCACCTGTGTATGGCAGGAATTCCATTCTTGAAACAAATTCATTGGTTGGTAATGATCTCCAACGTACTTCTATCGTGCATCGCTCACCAGCGGAACAAAGTTACTCACCCTTACAGCCCTATCCAGCTTTATCAGTTCTGGAGACATTGCCAAGACCGTCATTGATCTTTAATGGTCGTCAACCAGCAACATCTGGTAGACCAGGAACTGGTAATATTCATACACAACCTTACAACCCAGAGGCTCCCAGGTATAATGACACTGACCATTTATCACCGCTAATACGAGTCTCTAGTTCATTTCCTGATGAATCCCTTGCCACACTCAATGGTGCCGCCTATCGTGCAGCTAGGCATCTCAGAAATGACAGCAGTTTGCCCCCGCGGTATGATCATTCTAATTTGTCTGGTGACAATGATGAAGCATCATACGCGTCTAACATGCTTTCCCATTCTAGTTTGTCAAATGAGTTCTTCTTTCCAAGGCCATCCCTTCCTCCGCAACCTCTGCCATCTGAAAATCAAAGTGGTTGTACTGCATTTGAGGAGCATTCCTTATTGCCTCCTCCTGTCATCAATACTCCTTCAGTTTCAGGCCGCAGGCACGTGGTGACTACTTCACGGGAAGGCAATATTTCACAATCTGGAAGTGCTCATGAGGAAGTTCCCTGCAGTCGCAATAACATTCCTAATTCGAAGAGAACTCATGACAGTAGAAGATCAGATTATGGTGCTTATTCTCCAGCTAATCTGTATGGTGGTCAGGATGCTGATAGGATGTATTCAGATCAACAAAATCGTAACAAGCGTTCTGTGTTTGACCGCATGGTTTTCCCTACTACACAAGAAAGGGACCGAGATAGTACTACCAACTTTGTTGGAGAGGATGATGACGATAAAGATGACTTTTCGGTAAGTAAAATCATGGCTTCGTTGAAGCAGAGTAGATATCGATGGTTGAACGATAACAAACCAGCCAAGTTTCTGAATGGGCGACGCGATGATGGTGCTCATTATCAAGTAGGAAATAATAAAAGGCAAATATTCCCTCCAGAAACCAAGCACGATGACCACTTGGAAATAAGCGTAGTGCCAGTGGAGGATGATGATGATGCTCTCATGAAGAATGGAGAAAGTTCTCCTTTTGTTGATTTCAAACGCCGTAGTAGTAAACTGTGTAAAGCTCATCAGGTTGAAGCTGCAAAAACTACTGGCAATGATAATGTCGTGAGTACTGAAAACCAGCCGCCCAAGAGGAGGAAGTTGATAAGGCCTAAATTTGGTGAAGAGACATAGCAGCATTGATTATGTCATGGTGCTAAAGCTTGGATGAAGAGCAGCACTATCCATCATCTAAAAATTGATGATCTGTTGTGTCTGTTATCGCGCCCAGGGGCTGTATGTCAAGATAACTGCTTTCAGCAGTGGAGTTCCCAGTTTATGCTTTCATGATCTTTTTTTTTTTTTTTTTTGGTCAATCTCCCACTTCCTTCAAGAATGTGAAGTGAGGCTAGATTGTAAGACACTGCCTTCTTGGTGTGGTTTTTTTATTCACTGCTGAACTTCCATCACCTACATCCATTTAAGCTTCATGGTGGGACAAGTCAGGAACTTTGGAAGGCTGGCATTGCTTTTGTGGACCAATGACTTGTTCACCATTTCCTTCTCCAACCATTTCCTTTTTGTGTAGAAAATGCACAAACTTGCAGATTTTCTTTTCTGATCAATCTTTGTTGGTTAGGTCAGTAGAGATTCTATGCAGTAGTAAGTATGATGTTTGCTGTAGGGACTTGTTACCGTTTCGACGCATGAATACTACCAATATGGTGAAGTAATGCAAAGTATGTTGGTGACAGAATAATCCTTGCTCTCCTTTTCACTGCCAAAAATTTCTTACTTTTGAATTACTGTCTCTAACAATGAGAGATTTGGCTTTTGGAAGCAAGGATACTATAGGTAGTAATGTTGTACAGGTATACGTACGCATTGTCTGTGAGTTGCCTCAAGACAACCATGAACCGACGGTTCTGAATAATGACCTCCAGTAAAAAGGTACATTATTTTCTATTGTCCCATGTCTATTATGTTTGCTTGATAAATCATGAGCTCCATTTTCAGTAACAGCGGGTGCTTCAAGAATCCGATTAATATGCCAATGCTGTTGGATCACGCAGTCGAGCAATCTCGGGCCTTGGATGCACCCTGTGCATCCACAGTCCAGATCACTGGCTGCACATGATCCGTGAATCGGCATACGAATCGTTCCTGCATGTTTCCTTCATCCTTCTTTCTATTTGACAGCGTCTAGCTACGTAGTAAAATAAATGCAGCAGAATCTTCTTTCACTTCATTTATTGTCATGGCATGCCAATATATGCATCAAATGAGCGCCAGAAAGATGAGAGAAGCGGACTGGCATGGGATAAAGGTGAAGGGAGTCTCGAGAATCAGGTCTATGAACGAGAGAATGGAAATGGCAGGCGGCCACTGTACTACTCTGCATGTGAATTTTAGCACGTGAATATAGTAAAAATGTTGAGAGTGGTGGATTAAAAAAATGGTAATTCATTATTTTTTATCAAACTGCAGGCCACCATTTTTTTTTTCTCTAACTCTGAGCTTTACTGTGTGCAGAATGTGATGGAGAATCCAAGGTGGTGGCGGGAAGCCAAATCTCAGAGAAGGACTGCTGTTGATTCTCGCTGATTTCATTAATTCTCCCAATACATCTAAGTTGGCAGATACACTAACGGTCGCATGGTGAGAATTGGGGAGTTGATTAAAGATTGGTTTGCATTTCTTTTTGACTGAACGTGACAGCATTTAAACAACACGAGCTCCCTTCCCCTCATTCTCCCTATTTTAACATGAACTCGTGTTTACTCTCACTATCACTCTCACGCTCACTTCCCACCATCACTCATGGAAAACAACTGCAGGAAGTCATCGTCCTCACCGTTGAAGCCGTGGAAGAAAGGTCCGACGAGGGGCAAAGGCGGTCCACAGAATGCCATGTGCGAGTACCGAGGAGTTCGACAGAGGACATGGGGGAAGTGGGTGGCTGAGATCAGGGAGCCGAAGAAGAGGACTCGAATCTGGTTGGGTTCTTTCACCACTGCTGAAGAAGCCGCCATGGCGTACGATGAGGCTGCGAGGAGGCTGTATGGTCCTGAGGCTTATCTCAACTTGCCTCACCTCCAGCCTCCTTACATAAACCCTGCTGCCGCTGCTGCTTTCAGTAGTCCTTTCGGAGGGAGGTTGAACCGGTTCAAATGGCTTTCTTCTAGGAACTCGGCTTTGTTGTTTCCACCTCGTGGACTGCTCAACTTGCATGCCCAGCCGAGTGTCCACGTCATCCAGCAGAGGCTTCAGGAGCTGCAGAAGAAGAAGAGCAATGCTGCTGCTGCTGCTGCTCCCTGCAGCAGCAGCAACTCTTGTTCACAGAAACCTGAAGTTGGTTCTGCGATGACTCAAAAACCGCAGGCGGAGAAAGAAGTAGTGGTGGTGGAGGAGAAGGGAACAGTGGAGACGGTTGAGACAGAGAAAGTTAAGCCGCAGATTGATCTGAACGAGTTTCTTCAGCAACTGGGGATTTTGAAAGATGAGAGGCTGTGTGTTCCTATGGACAAGGAAGAGTTCAGCTGTTATGATGTTGCTGGAGATCAGCTTGACCATTCATCGTCATCGTTCGAGGAAGACAAGGGTTTTAGTTACTGGGATTCCTTCATGTATGGTTTGCATGGCATGGCAGATCTTCACAATCAGGATATCGTGGCGGCGGGCAGTAGAATCCAGCTCCAGCAGCTGGATGTGGAAGATGATGATCAGCAATTCTCAACTCACATATGGAATTTCTAGATATGTCGCTTGCTTTGGGCTAGATTTTTTTCTTCTTCTTTTAACCAGTTTGGTTTGGTGTCACTTTCCATTCCCTGGCAACGAAAGATCATAAGGACAATGCATGATTTATTTGGTTTTGTTCTAGTTATTGAGGATTTTTTCCCGGATTTTTTCCCATTATGCTCTTGATGTTTGGTGGTATAACATGTTGAACTCTTCATGTTAACCCAATCATATATGGTCTAACATGATACTTTATTCATATTTCATATACCAAAGTGCATCTACTCGTACTTGGATACTGATAAGTCATTTTTATCAAGTCTCATCTCTCCCTTATGCAAGTACACTCTTCCACAAATTTGATAACGTTCTTTGTCAAGTAAATATGCTTGCAAATCTTCACCTTAGTTGACTGACCAATTATTCACCACTTAGAGGAGATAAAAATTTATATACGCTGACTAATCATTCATATTTGGATCACGTGTATTTTACATATGTGTAACATTTTTCGAATTCTTTTCTGATTAACAATTTTTTCTGAGTCTTTCGACTATTCAACTAGAGGTCAGTTGATCACACGTGTCGTTTAATCGCATGTATTCCAAATATACAATTTTCATTTTCAGACACTTAAACAAATATTTTGTTTTTCATAAATACTAGCGTGGGTCCCGGCCAGTTGGCTGGAGGAAGGTGATGTATGAAATTTGATAATGTAATGTAGTGTATAGCTTATTATTGTATAGTTTTTTTTTGGAACACGTAATAAAAATAGTGAATTTTAGTAGGAAAGAGACATGAATGATGCAACGAATCAAAAATCAGCCTTATGAACCAAAATCAAGTACATGTTACCTAGTGAAACAATATTGTTTCTGGTAATATGATGAGGTGGAGTAAGCTTTATAGAAACTGAATTCCAGAAAATCGAATAAAAAATCGCCTATCCCGCTGGTTTTCGAGAAATGAGCATCTCACAATCGTTGCTACCTTTAACTCGGCCCGCTGGCCGATTAATTTGCTTTATAAAACTTTCATCTTGTCGTCATTGTGCTTTCTGGTTTTTGCCAAGCCATGATAAAATCTAAAGAAATCAAGAATGAACAACACGATTTGGGATAAGAATCGTCGTTCCTGTATCCCTAGAAAATGGTGGTAAACACGGACTCACCTGCCAAACTGGTTTGGATTGAAATTTTTATCGTGTATCAGGGAACCATGTGATTATAAATTAGACTTGATCAAAACGGGCCAAAACTTGAACTTCAGCCTGTTTGACCGACTCATGCCAAACTCTAATTATTCTTTACTTTTAAACTTTCTATTTGAAAATAAAAAATAATGAAAGAAAAGAGATTACTGCAATTCACCATTTGCAAATCAATATTCAGAATAAAAGTATAGAATTTTGAAAGAAAACTGAAAATGTTTAGAAAACGTTTTAATGTTAAAAATAACCAAACAGATCTTTCTGTTTATTTTTTTACTAACAAATACCAAACGATTTCCTATAAAATACACTATAATTTAATATTTATGATATCAAATAATTACATAATATATATTTGAAATGATAAAAATGGACTAATTGGGTTGGTCGAGGTTGAATCATTGAATAACTTTAAAATACATGATATCTTAGCCACTAAGATATAAAATAATAGCATAATATATATTATGCTAGAGAAAATAACTTGTTTTAGAATGACAAACCCATGATGTTCATTTGTTTTACTTGATGGGGAAATCTCGTGTAGGTCAGCCCATTCAACTCTTTTATTTTATGGTTAGCGGTTAGCCCATTAGAATCCATGCATTAGTTTATTGTTAATTTTTATTCGTTTTAGCAATAAAAGAAGTATTTTTTTCCCTTTTCATATATATTTTACCACCACGGAGAAATAAAAAGGACTTAAAGAAAAAAAATTGACACTCCTGGACCCGTTTAAATCCGCATGTGTACGGTAAGATTACCCGTAGGGCTGTTAATCGGTCAGCGGTTACTCGGTTGTGTTGAAGGAAGCTCGGTCAATGGCCTTGATCAAGCAATTCAAACGACACAATTGGTTGATTTGGAAAGAAATCAAAGCGTGATGCATTACCATTTGTATCTCAAGTCAAAGATATAAGGTTTCTAAAAGAGACGTTGAGGAAAACATAGGTATAAAGAGGAGCGGATCATAAACCAGCAGCTTAACCTTTTTCAATCATTCAAAAGCAGAGTGCAGGGATAGTTGCGATAGGCTTTTGTGAGAAAAAGAGAGTAAGGAGTTGCTTGTGGACTAGTTAGAGGTTTTGGGAACTGAGACTTCAGATCAAACACCTTGATTAGTTCGGGTATTCAGCTGTAGGCTGGGTGTGAGTGCTATATTACTGTATTCAGAACTTCAAAGAGAAAGATCATCAGTGAAACGTTGAGGATCTCAAATTGAGATACTTCAACCGTGGATTAGTCGGTACAGGGATTCTTATTCTCCCTGTCCCGGATACCACGTAAAAATTGTCGAGTGTTTTTACTTTGAGCTGCTCTTATAATCTTATCTTAACTTGTCTCTGTTAGTACTCTGTTTTAGTTGCTTCTTACAGGTACATTAGTTTCGGAAACAAGAGGAAGAAGAAGAGTGACCTGGGGTCGGTGAAAGTTGATACAAGAGTCAAAACGCAGGCCTAAAGGAGTTTTGGGCTCGTTTCGGGTGATCGTATAATTGGGCCTATATTGCGGATCTAACTAACCTGGCCCTATTTGTTCTCAATCACGTTTTTATTTCTCAATTGCTTTATTCCAGAACTGAGATCGTCCTTTCCCATTGAAATCTTACAAGCTTCGATTTAGGGTTCTTAGTGCAAAGCAGATACAAACTAGAAGAGAAGCATCTGGTCTCGCGCTCGACCTCGTTCTACACGTGGTATCAGAGCCCGGCTCCGGAGTCAAGAGGTTTAACAACCCACGGAGAAGATGAGTTCGAGTTCAGCGAGCGGAACTGGAATCTACATGGCTGATGGTTTTTCGCAAACCCGACCACCACGTTTTGAGGGCGTACACTATGGCTACTGGAGGAACAGAATTGAGCTGTTCATTGGATCCACTGATCCAGACCTGTGGAACATCGTGATGGATGGGCCATTGGAAGTCAAGGAAGCTCGAGGAAAGTGGACCGATGAAGACAAGAAGAATTTTCAGCTCAATTCGAAGGCAACAAACCTAATGTACTGTGCATTAGGGCCTGAGGAATACCACAGAGTCACCGGTTGCAAAACAGCGAAAGAAATTTGGGATAAGCTTCAGATTGCCCACGAAGGTACTTCTCACGTCAAGATTTCCAGAATAAACATTCTTAAACAAGAATTTGAGTCCTTCATCATGAAGCCTGAGGAATCAATCAAAGAAATGAATGATAGATTCACAACAATTGTCAATAGTCTGAGGAACTTGGAAGTCGAATATCCAAGCACTGATCTTGTTCGCAAAGTTCTCTAGGCTATGCCTAAACGTTGGACTCCCAAGGTTACTGCCATCGAAGAATCCAAGGATCTCACTCGACTCAGCCTAGATGAACTGATAGGATCATTGATTACTCATGAAGAGAAATTAAGAAGAGAAGATGTTGATGAGCCTAAGAAGGATAGACGAAACATTGCATTCAAAGCCTCATCATATGAAGAAGAACTGGAAGGATTAGAAGACATGGAGGATGAGGAATTAGCACTGCTGAGCAAACATGTTGCTAGACTGCTAAAGATGCGACGTGACAGAAGAAATGGGAATTCACCAAATAAGGCAGAAGAGAATAGAGATCAGAAGGAAAGGAATCGGTTTGGATATAAAAATAGAAGAGAAAGCAGCGTAGAGAAGTCCCAGCTTCAGCCCAACTGCTATAAATGTGGAAAGACGGGGCATATGAAGGCAGACTGTCCACTTACAAAGAAAGCCTACACTGCAACTTGGAGTTGCAGTGAAGAAGATGAAGAAGAAGTATGCAAACAGGAAGCATATATGGCCATTGATGCAGAATCAGAGGAAGAAAACATCAACCAGGTAAAGTCCTATTATTCTGATTCTTTTAGTGAAGATGATCAAATGATAGAAACCATACGAGATATTCAAAAGGAATTTGCTAATGTAAAGCAAAAACACATCAGAACTAAAGGTGAATTTGAAGTCTTATTATCAAACTATGAATCACTCAAAATAGAGAATCACAAACTGGAAAATACTTTAAAAAATGCCTTAAACGAAAATGAAACTCTTAAAACTAAGCTTGCTGTTTCAGAGGATAGAGTAAAATACCTAGAAAGAAACAAAAATTCAAGTCTATCTAACAGGTTCAGTAATAGGAAGATAATCGAGTGCTATTACTGTCATAGACTTGGTCATCATATAAGCAAGTGCAGAAAACGCATTGCCAAGGAAAATAAGATAAAAAATATTTCAAGCTTTACTCATAACCATACTGAGTGCTCGCATAAAAAATATCTGGTCTTGAAAGAACCTAAACTTATGTGGGTAGCTAAAAACAAGTAATTCATCTCTTTTGCAGACCTGTCTCCAAGTGAGCATGGAAGGCAGTGTTTGGATCCTTGACAGTGGCTGCTCACATCATATGACTGGGGATAAAAAGCTTTTTACTGACCTTACACTAAGAAAGAGAGGTAAAGTCTATTTTGGTGATAATTACAGTACAGAAATTCTAGGTAAAGGAACCATAGGTAACTCACCATCTATAAGCAATGTTATGTTCGTAAAAGACTTAAAACACAACCTACTTTCCATAAGTCAGCTGTGTAAAAATGAAAACCGAGTCATATTTGAACCAAATGGATGTGTTGTTGAAAATATCTTAACCAAGAAGACTTTTGTTTACTGGAAAACGAAGAGGAAAATTGTTCATTATTGATCTAAATGACAAAAAGACCTTCAATGAATCATGTCTCATAACAGTTGACAAAGATGATCAACTAGAATGGCATCGCAGGTTAGGACACATAAGTGTGGGAATTCTGTCTAAACTGGTAAATTTAGAACTAGTTAGAGGTGTTCCTAAGATTCATAGAAAGAAAGAGTTTTTCTGTGATGCGTGCACAAAGGGAAAACATACTAGAACCTCTTTCAAGAAAAAACAGGTCCTGTCCACAAATAGACCACTTGAATTACTTCATCTGGACCTTTTTGGTCCCAGTAATGTCATGAGCCTAGGAGGAAAATATTATGCTTTTGTCATTGTTGATGATTTTTCAAGATTCACCTAGGTTCTATTTCTTTCAAGCAAAGATGAAGCACTTTTGAAATTCAAAACTTTTGTCAAACAGGTTGAAAATGAAAAACAGTCTAAAATAATAAACATCAGGAGTGATCATGGAGGTGAATTCGAATCAGAAAAATTTGAGGAATTCTGTAACTTGAATGGAATTCTACACAACTTTTCAGCCCCTAGAACACCCCAACAAAATGGTGTAGTGGAGAGAAAGAATATTACTCTAATTGAGATAGGAAGAACCATGCTCAATGACTATGGAGTGTCAAAGAAATTATGGGCAGAGGCCATTAACACAGCCTACTATATAATCAATAGAGCTCTAATTCGATCCAAATTAAACAAGACCCCTTATGAGCTTTGGAAAAATCGAAAACCTAACCTAAGTTATTTCCATCCCTTTGGCTGTAAGTGCTTCATATTAAATACAAAGGATACCTTGGGAAAATTTGACTCCAAGTCAGATGAATCGATTTTTCTTGGTTACTCTACCAACAGTAGAGCTTACAGGGTGTTTAATAAAAGGACTCTCAAGGTAGAAGAGTCCATTAATGTTATATTTGATGAGTCTGTGAGTAAGATTGCAGAAGTAATAGATGATGATGACTTTGGACTCGGTGGCAACCAATTCAAGGACTCAACGATAGTGAGTACATAGACATCCTCAACTGTTGCAAACTCAGACCTGGACAGACCTGAAGCACCTCCTCACATACATAAACGTCATCCCAACTCACAAATCATTGGTGATCTAAACCAAGGTATGGTGACTCGATCTAAGGTCTATCTTGAGCATACTGCATTCATTTCTCAAATCCTACCTACGAATATAGATGAAGCTCTAGAAGACGAATTTTGGACAGCAGCCATGCATGATGAAGTGCATCGGTTTGAAAGAACCATAGTTTGGGATCTAGTTCCCAAACCTGAAAACAGAACCATAATAGGTACAAAATGGGTCTATAAAAATAAAACAGATGAAAGTGATATTATCAAGAAAAATAAAGCTAGGCTTGTAGCTCAAGGGTATAATAAAGAAGAAGGAATAGACTTTGATGAAACTTTTGTACCTGTTGCCAGATTAGAAGCCATAAGGCTTCTCTGTGCTTATGCAGCAGCAAAAGGGTTTAAATTGTTTCAAATGGACGTCAAAAGTGCCTTTTTAAATGGTGACCTAAAAGATGAAGTTTATGTGTCTCAACCCCCTGGTTTTGAGAACTCAGAACATCCAGAATATGTCTATAAGCTCAACAAAGCCCTCTATGGTCTTAAGCAGGCTCCTCGAGCCTGGTATGACAAACTCAGCCAGTTTTTTATAGATGATGGGTTTCATAGGGGAAAAGTTGATAAAACCTTGTTCATCAAAGAGTCAAAAGGTCACACCCTGTTAGTACAAGTCTATGTAGACGATATTATTTTTGGATCCTCCTGTCCTGAACTATGTCATAACTTTGAAAACAGCATGAAAAGAGCTTTTGAAATGAGCCTTATGGGTGAACTAAATCTCTTTCTTGGACTGCAAGTTAAACAAACCAATTCGGGAACCTTTATAAGTCAAAGTAAATACCTTCATAACATGCTAAAACGCTTCAACTTTGAAAACCTCAAGTCTGCTCCTACTCCCATGGGTTCTTCAACTAAACTAACAAAAGATGAAACTGGGAATAACGTTGATCATAAACTCTTTAGGGGGATGATAGGATCTTTACTGTACTTAACAGCCAGCCGTCCAGATATAATGTATAGTGTCTATGTATGTGCTCGCTTTCAAAGCCAGCCTAAAGAGAGTCATCTATCTGCTGCGAAGAGACTTTTCCGCTATCTAGCTGGAACTCCTGACCTAGGATTGTGGTACTCTAAGCACTCTAGTCTAGACTTAGTTAGCTACACAGATTCAGACTATGCAGGTTGCGTAATTGATCGTAGAAGCACCTCTGGTGCTTGTCTTTTTTAGAGTCTTCCCTCATCTCTTGGTTCAGCAAAAAACAGAACTCAGTAGCACAAACAAACCGAAACAGTCGGTCTCGACTGACCGCACAAACAAACCGAAACCGTCGGTTGCGGTTTGCGGTTAACCGCACCTCCCTTCGGCTGCGGTTGCGGTTGACGTTTCAGTGGCGTCTTCGGCTGCGCTTAACCGCAGTTGCGGTTCGGTTAAAACCCAAACCACATCGCTAACATGCCAAATTACCCGTTCCATTGAGGAAAAAGAAAAAAATTGACACTCAATATTATACCCTTCCTACAAACACTCCTGGAGTAGGGAATTTGAAATGGGGGAATATTTTCCTCTCTGGTATTATATGTTTTTAATTTAAAAAATACAACAAATATAATTAATGTGATTGATTATAATGTTTGCTTTTCTTTAAAGTGGTCATGGTTCGAATCAAGTTTTCTCGTTTGACTTATAAATTATAAAAGTCACAATACGCAACTGCGGTCTGCGCAAGTATCAACGATGTGGTACACCAACAGGCAACAACTCTTGCCTTGCGTGCTCGCTCATTGAGTCATTGTCCAATGAGCTTGAGAGTGGTTTGATCATTATTTGAGAGAGAGGAACCGGCTCCCTGGTCAGATCAGTCAGCAGGGTAGCCTTTCACTCATAATCTGAACCTCCAAGTTACTCGTACTGCCGGCGGAAAAAAGAAGAGACCTCATCAGTAGTCCTCACGAACTTGGGAGAATTCCCGGCAGCAGCAGCGATGGAGAAAGGGAAAAAGGCGGCGATGGGGAAGAAAGCTTTCTCATCTTCCCCGACAATGCCGCCCGTATCTCTGGACCAATTCGTCTCCATCATGGCCCCTTTGATTGATATGGAAAAGGTTTCTTTCTTCTCCATTCACATTTTCCCCCACCTGCAACCCATTCATCTCCCCTTTCTCTCCTTTCATTTTCTATGCTGTTTTCAGGAAGCAGAAATATCAGCCTCCATAAGCTCCGGCGCGACCAGGAACTTGGAGACTGCCCAAAAGCGCGGCTCTGCAATCTTCAATTTGAAATGCGTCGACGTCCAGGTATCTGATGTCTTTGACTGATGAAAGCACAAACAGAACTAAATGGGTTTTTATCAGTTAAGTTGATTTCTTTTTTCTTGCTTCGGTTTGATCAGACTGGGCTGATGGGGAAATCTCTTCTCGAGTTTCAATCAACCAGAGGAGATGTTCTTCCTGCTCATAAGGTGAGTGATCAACAAAATCTGAGAACCATATAGCTCTCTTTCCGTGGCTTAAATCCATCACTTACTGACAACTGTTAATGGATTTGTTCCTTATCCCAAACTCTTGTCTTCAGTTTGGCATCCATGATGTGGTTATTCTGAAGCCAAACAAGGCTGATTCAGGGTCTGCTGGTCTCGGGCAAGGCGTGGTGTATCGTTTGAAGGTAAAAGTTATGGTCTTTAGAACAAAATGGTAAGCACTGAGAAGACTATGAAGCATGTTCGGCCGTTATTGATTGGTTTTGTGACTCCTGCCAGTAAGTTTGCTTCCATACTGAACAGGACACCTCTATCACTGTTGCTTTTGATGATATGCCTGAAGATGGTTTGAATGGTTCGCTACGACTTGAGAAAGTTGCTAATGAGGTAGCATTTCTTCCTTTTGATTTCCCCCCCTCTTTGTACCTCATCCTGGCTTGACTCTTTGTTTTATGCTCTATGGGTAGAAAACTTTATTTTCTATTCGGATTTAGAGAAGCTGTATCCATGTTAATTGAGTGATAATTGCGGATACGTCAATCCTCGATTAGAAAACTGTAATTGCTGAAGAACTCTTACTTTTTGCTTAATTATGCAGATAACATATCGTAGGATGAAGGACGCATTGATACAATTGAGTAAAGGTGTGCACAAGGGCCCTGCTTCAGATTTAGTTCCAGTTCTTTTTGGTGAGAGACAGCCTACTGTGTCAAAGAAGGATGTTATGTTTACTCCATTTAACTCCAACCTCGATCACTCACAGGTAGATAGCATGAGAGTATCTATTCACTGTTTATTTTCACGATCAATTGTGCAACCTCGTGATTTCTATGTTTCCCATTCTTCAGTGACTGTTGATAGTTACCATGCGCTTTAAGATAAGGATGGAAATACACGTTTTTGTATTTCCAAGCATAAGTGTCTTCACAGTTCTGTCATTCCTATCAGCTGGCCATCTGAACTAAATTTCAGCCTTTATAAGTCTGGGACATGCATGATCCGGACTTTTTCTCTTAGACATGATCTGTGCACTATACTTCTTTGCTTGATATATGTTGTGTTCGCCACAATCGGGATGACTTTTTTGTTTGTTGGTTTTATCCTTTCTTGCACGCTCAAGAAAGATGCAGTTTCAAGGGCTCTATCATCAAAAAATGTGTTTTTATTGCACGGCCCTCCTGGAACGGGGAAAACGACCACTGTGGTGGAGATAATTTTACAAGAAGTCAAACGTGGATCAAAGATTCTTGCATCTGCTGCTTCCAACATTGCTGTTGATAACATTGTTGAGCGACTTGTTCCTCACAGGTATTATTACATCTTGCCACTATTGAAAAAAGCATATATTTTACAATCACAATCGACTTAGATGTATGTTTCTTAGTGAGAGGACATGCTCCGGAAGGCCTTCTGCTAACATTCTTTGAAAGATTAGTATACTTTTGAGAAAAACTCAATGTTTTCGTCTTTCTCGATTTTGCTCTTGTGCCAGAGTAAAGTTGGTGAGATTGGGACATCCAGCACGTTTACTACCTCAAGTATTAGATAGTGCCCTTGATGCGCAGGTAAGGTATTTGGCAACAAATTTATAGATTTGTGCAACTGTTGATTCTTTCATTTGTTAAGAACCATGCACACCTAGATTAGACCTCCTATGAATGGTACCATGTTAACTTTCTGCCGAGTTTGATTGTATTGGATTTATCCTATACAACCAACTTTTGCATCTTGGTGTCGCAAGCATATATGGATTGTGTATACTATGTATGAGATATGCTTTTTGGAAATATTCTATGAAACTTCCCAATTCTGTATAAATTCCTTATTGTTTATGAGTTGCAAAGTATCCAATTGCAGTTTCTTCTGTTTAGGAGATTGCAATTTCTTCTGTTTAGGAGATAATTCTGTTCCTATTTATAATACATCGTTTGACTTATTTACTGCATCTGTCTAAGTTTATGTTCTCCTACGATAGGTTCTGCGTGGAGACAACAGCAGTTTGGCTAATGACATCCGGAAGGAAATGAAGGTATGATGTTGCATTAGTATTTTAACAGATTATATGTCATCATCGCTAATGTTTAAATTTCTATTAAGCATCTATCTATCTATCTATACATAATATTATGGCAATTCAAAAGTAATTGTTTGCCACCTAAGCACTTGGAGAGCTTACAAATTGCCAAGGTGGATAATATTTTTACAAAAAGAATAATAGTTATTGATATATTTATGGAGCTATCTCTCTCTTCATTTAATACTTCATTTCCCTTTTATCCTTTTTTTTGTATTATATCAATGTACACAATAATAAATAATGTATGAAAAGTGACATATATTACATTTGTTATCTCTAATTTATTTAATATTTATTTTTCTTTTCCAATACTTCTTTTATGTTTTTGTTTTTACTTTTGCATTGTATAGATGTACACAACAATAGACTAATGTCTTTGAGTCACACATATAACTTTTTTCTCAACCAAAAAAATATTATTAACTCATTTTTACAATAATTTACAAATATGTTACATTTTGACGAACAATTTATACAAACACACATACATAATAACATTTTATCGCGACAAAATAACGATGGAAATTAAAGAGAGAAAACATGAAACGTTGGAATAGAAACTTGACCAAGCAATAAAATCTATTTCTTAAACAAAAACCTTATTCATTCTAATTAAGTGAAAAAATATGAATCATAGGTGCAATAATTTACAATGTATCCTAAGTTCAAATTACTAATGTTTTGCATTTTTGCTCCTGATCGTGTTAATTTAGCAAACTCTACTGAAGTTTTACGTCATATGTTAAGAAACTTAATTTTCAGACTTGGAGTAATAAATTTTCAAGGATTATAAATAAAAAATTTCGAAATGACTTCGATATGATTGTTGATGAACTTGACTTCATATCTTCAGATGAAACACGAGATACATTAAAAAATGATACATGTGAAAGTTAGATGAATCTTTGCTAAACTGTATCTTTCTATACATAATATTAATGCAATTCAAAAGTAAATGTTTGCCACCTAAGCACTTGGAGAGCTCACAAATTGCCAAAGTGGACATTATTTTTACAAAAAGAAAAATAGTTATTGATTTATTTATGGAGTTATTTCTCTCTTCATTTAATATTTCATTTCTCTTTTATCCTTTTTTTTTATTATATCAATGTACACAATAATAAATAATGTATGAAAAGTGACATATATTACATTTGTTATCTCTAACTTTTTTAATATTTATTTTTCTTTTCCAATACTTCTTTTATGTTTTTGTTTTTACTTTTGCATTGTATAGATGTACGCAACAATAGACTAATGTCTTTGAGTCACACATATAACTTTTTTCTCAATCAAAAAAATATCTTATTAAAGCTCACTAAATAAAATTTTAACTCATTTTTACAATAATTTACAAATATGTTACATTTTGATGAACAATTTATACAAACACACATACATAATAACATTTTATCGCGACAAAATAACGATGGAAATTAAAGAGAGAAAACAAGAAACGTTTGAATAGAAACTTGACCAAGCAATAAAATCTATTTCTTAAACAAAAACCTTATTCATTCTAATTAAGTGAAAAAATATGAATCATAGGTGCAATAATTTACAATGTATCCTAAGTTCAAATTACTAATATTTTGCATTTTTGCTCTAGATCGTGTTAATTTAGCAAACTCTACTGAAGTTTTACGTCATATGTTAAGAAATTTAATTTTCAGACGTGGAGTAATAAATTTTTAAGGATTATAAATAAAAAATTTTAAAATGACTTCGGTATGATTGTTGATGAACTTGACTTCATATCTTAAGATGAGACACGAGATACATTAAAAAATGATATATGTGAAAGTTAGATGAATCTCTGCTAAACTGTATGTTAAACATCATGTGTTCATCAACCACTGACCTATGAAGCAAGATTAGAGAAGTTAATCATCGTAAGAGGTATGATCTTTCTTAGCAAACACATGCATTTTTTTTTTGCAATAAAACACATGCATAAATAATTATATATTTATGAAATAAAATAATTCGATAGAAATTCAATGGAGCAAGAATAGATCACATTATTGGATAAATAAAGATAATAAGTAAGAATAACTTTTCTCTCACTTATAATATGTCATTCCATCCCTTATTTTCTTTTACAATTGTTCATATTTCCCTTATTTTCTTAACATTTTATAAATCCCGATAAAAAACAAGCATTAATTACACTTAAAAATAATTAAAATCTTTTTAATATATATGCTTATATATTGACCATAAATGTGGCAATACAAAAAATGCATATATTAGTATAAGTAATGAAATTTTTATTTCTAAACAAATACCAAACATAAATAAATTTTAGAAAACGAAGGTTCTACAAGTTGTAAAATTATACACTAACGCACCATATTAAGATCAAAATCCGTATGTGGGTATCTTGGATTGAGATTCTAAAACAATATATAAACAATGACAATGAGTCTCAGTTAGTCCAAATTAAATTTCAGAAATTAGCAATTGATACATATTGGATTGAGATTCTAAAACAATATTGAATAATTGCATTATCAGCCCTTCCCTCTTTCTTGATGATCTGCTTTTCACTCTAACTATCTTTTGCCAGGCATTAAATGGAAAGCTGTTGAAGACCAAAGACAAAAACACTAGAAGGGAGATCCAGAAGGAGTTGAGAACCCTCACAAAAGAAGAGCGTAAAAGGCAGCAGCTCGCTGTTATGGATGTGATTAAAACTTCAGATGTGGTTTTAACAACTCTAACTGGTGCTGCTTCTCGCAAGCTGGACTCTACATCTTTTGATTTGGTGATTATTGATGAAGCTGCTCAGGCACTTGAGATTGCTTGCTGGATGCCTTTGTTGAAGGTAAAAACAAACTGTAAGCTGTTTCTTGCTTTTCACTGAAATGACATCCTTTTCTGCTGAGTCACCTTAATGACATCTTGAAATTGGAAATTTTCATCAACATTTTGAAAGTAGCAATTGCTTAAGCAGTCAAATCTTATTCAGCGGTAGGCTTGTATAAGATTTGTAATTACATGTCTTACGTTAAAGCTTTTACAACTTAGTGATTGGCTTTTCCTTGTCAGGGTTCAAGATGCATACTTGCTGGTGACCACCTTCAGCTTCCTCCAACCATCCAAAGTGTTGAAGCAGAGAAGAAAGGCTTAGGGAGGACCCTATTTGAGCGTCTAGCAGATCTCTATAGCGATGAAGTTACATCTATGCTTACTGTCCAGTACCGCATGCATGAGCTCATTATGAACTGGTCCTCTAAGGAGTTATATGACAGCAAGGTAAGAGCGTTTATTTTGAGATTTTCCTTCGATTAGTGTAATTAAATGAGCCATAACACCTTTTACTTGTCAACTCTGGCGATAAATCATCCAGATCGAAGCCCATCCAAGTGTTGCAGCACATGCACTATATGATCTTGAGGATGCAAACAAGTCAACTTCAACAGAAGCAACACTTCTTCTTGTGGACATTGCAGGGTATATATAACAACTCCCCGCACCACCAAATTACCACGACTTGCATCACTAACATAACCTTTTAGTCTTATGCTATTCTTTCGAAATGCCCGATGCGGAAAAAGTAAATTTGTAGATCCTTCTTCTCAGATGCGACATGGAAGAAAAGAAAGACGAAGAAGATAGCACACTGAATGAAGGAGAAGCTAAAGTTGCTATTGCTCATGCTAAGAGACTAGTAAGCAGTGGAGTTCAGGCCTCTCATATTGGAATCATTACACCTTATGCCGCGCAGGTAAAAGTTTCTCCCTTAACATTAAGCACTCTCTACATTGCTTCTCTTAAATGGAAATTTTATCCCGTTCTTCAATTCCTATTTCAGGTAGTTCTCTTAAAAATACTCAGAGGCAATGAAGACAAGCTGAAGGAGGTGGAAATTTCAACTGTTGATGGCTTTCAAGGCCGAGAGAAGGAAGCTATCATTATTTCCATGGTGCGGTCTAATTCCAAGAGTGAGGTAATCTTTTGAGTATCTACTATCAATCTATCATTTTGATTCTCAGACTTTAAGTTGGTAAAGTTTCTCAAATGTCAAAAATATGGTTAACGGTTAGAGAACCTTACCTATCTTCACAAAGCATATCTCAGGTTGGATTTCTCAGTGATCGTAGAAGGATGAACGTAGCAGTGACGCGGGCAAGAAGGCAATGCTGCATTGTTTGTGACACCGAAACGGTCAGTAGCGATGGGTTTCTGAAGCGATTGGTCGAGTATTTCGAGGAGCACGGTGAGTATCTCAGTGCCTCTGAGTACATCGATGAATAAGCAAAATATCCCTGAGAAAAACCAGCCACCTTTTCCTTGGTTGTATTGTGTAGTTACAAACTTACAAAAGGGTTAAACTCATAACCAGTGGTAGTAGTCTCTATTTGATTCACTTCGATAATTCCTTTCCCTTTTGGAGGATGATCTATGGCGTATTGGCGTAGGTTGGTTGAGCTGAACAAAGCTCACAAATATTTAGTCTCATTAACAGATCAGTATGGCCTTTGGCCAATTACATTGCCATGAGGATCATACTCGCAAACGACGTAGGTATCGCCATTGGCACACTTGATCCTAGCACACCCAACTCTCCTAGTACTCCTCCACACCAACTGTGTATAGTGCAAGCAGTCCCGATTCGCCATACAAGCATCACGTCCATAGTCATAGTATACCTCCTGAGCAGCCCAGTCTTTGACAGCATCCGTCCCCTTCCATCGCTTCCCTTGACCCCAAAAGATGTTCTCACCATAATCCCCCGTCGAATGCACCAGCCGGCAGTCCTTCCTCCTCTGGTTGGCATACCATTTAGCATAGTTAGCCAACTTGGTGCTCCACGTCAGTCGCGGTAGGCGGTGCCTTGCCCTCACTGCGTTGTGAGCAGCAAGCATCTGGGCCGAGAATGCATCGAGCATTTCTCGCCTGGGGATCGTAGGTTCGGATGATGATGGAGAAGCCGAGATGGAGGAGAAGAAGAGGAATGTGGTTAAGATGGTGAAGGGAATGAGAGTCGAGGTGGAAGAAGCCATTGTTGTTGGAGGTATGGAGGTGTGGGTGAGTTCGTTGCGATGAGGTAAGGGCCAGGAGGGCTTTATATATGTTCTCCTGCCTTGTGAATCGAGGTCAGGAATTATGGAAGAATGTGTTCTGTTTTGCATGTGAAGATGGCGGCGGGAAACATGGGGGATTGAAGGAATGAGAGAATTTAAGGGAGTATAAGCAGAGGGTTGTCGTGATCGTGAGAAGGCATGTGAGTGTTTATTATACTCGGTTTTTTTCAGGGGATTCATGTGGGTTGGCGCCATGCGCGCCCAAGAAGGGAAGACTAGTACAGAGTTGGGCGGAAAATGAACATGTTCTTCTAAATGGCTTCGAATCCAATGTAATTGATAGCAAGTGGGCGAAGTGAGCACATGATGTGCCCTCTTCCTCATGTGCATGCCCGAATCAGCCTCCCATTTTTTCCATGGTTTGTGGTACTACTGTTACTATACTAACTACAAAAACTATTAGCAAGACAGCAACTACGCCGGTATGGTACACAAATATATCGGAAATGTTTGCATCGTTTGGTACAATGCAAACAAGTGGTCTATCCGTTGTCGTAAAATGACATGTTTTATTGTTTTTGGTCGGTATTATGTTGATATATGAGAGAATGAGCAAATATTATATACATTTAAAAATGAATTGATAGAAACCTAAAATTAGGTTCTATCGATTTCTAGGAATTTGGAGAAAAGAGGCGAATCACTGAGGGAGTGATTAGCTCTTTCTTTGGGAAAATGGTAAGGGAGAAGGAGATAGGAAATTGTGAGGTGAGGGAGGAAGAAGAAGCTGCCGAGGCAGCAGGGAAGGGAGAGGGATTAGAGAGTGTTTAGGGTTTAATCTTGCTTAGTGGTTAATTCCCACGTACAAGTAGTTTATATAAAAATGGATAATTCTCTACCGCTACCCGACTTATTAAATAACCCCCAATTTGCTCCAATAATTCTCAAAGAGTCACATCTGGCCTCGCACACTGGTGAGCGAAGGTGAACCGCTCATTGCAGTTGAAACACTTGCCCTCCCGGTGCTTCTGTTCCATCTCAGCAGGTGTCAGCCTGACGAAGCCCTTCGGTGGAGGGCGAGGACCAGGTCTTGGCCCTGTCGCCGCCGTTGGTGGTGGATTCCCTCCTACAGCTCCGGTGCCCGCCCCAGCGGTCGCGCTACCTCCCCCACTGCCCGTGGCACTGCTATTTCCCCCTTCGCTCGACCTTTGGTAACGGGCGATGACGCTTCTCCAGCTGGCAAGTTCTTCCTCCCTGTGACCTGCATAACGGAAAGCAGTTCTTACCAAGTCAGATTCAAACACCCGGACAGCTGTCGCGATCTCTGGCTTTAGGCCAGCCACACATAATCCCACCCGTGTTTCTTCCGGAACCCCTTTGCACTGGTTCCCCAGCTTGAGAAATTCCGACCGATACTCCGCCACTGTTCTGGTCTGCCTCAACTTAGCTAGCTGCTCGGGACCCCATCCCTCTGATTTGCCGAACTGATAACAAAGTTCCTCCTGGAACATCGGCAACGTGATCAGAGTTCGCGTAGCAGCGTACGACCTCTCTAACCATTCCCACCAATGCAGCGCGTCACCTTCCAGGTAGAAGGACGCCAGGTGCGCCTTCCGCTCCTCCCGAGTCGGGTGGTTCTTAAACCACCTGTCAGCTGCATACAACCATAACCCTGCATCCTCTTGCCCATTGAATTTCGAAAATTCAATGGTTGGAGGCTTAGCTCTGAAAACTAAGTCATCATCCACATCATTAAGGCGGTCATACCCAGCATACCTTCCACCATGGGAATTTTTCAGACCTCTGTTCACGTACTCGGCTCCCTCCTCTCCTCGGGGTTGCCCGGTATACCAGCTCCTCGAGTCCTGGGTTACTCGTCCCGGTCCGTCCGGCCCCATGCGCGACGGTTGGAAGCCTCCTGCCTCGCTACACGATCCGCGACCGCCCATAGGAAGCCCCCGATTCGGCTCGCCCTGCTGTTGGTTGTCCCGGTCCGATTCAATTCTGGTTCGACCCGGTTAGGTCCAACCAGTCGGACTGGTGTTGGTCCAACTGGTTCGACCGATCTGATGCGACCCGAACCCATCCTTGTCGGTCGCCCACCTCTGGTCCGACCCTGCTGCCTCTGGTTGGGTTCGGCCCACTTCTCTGCCCAGCCCGCCAGACTTAGCTCATTTTCCTCTTGGGTTGGTTTGGGGCCCATCCATCCTAGCCCGTTAGGCACCCAGGCCCTGCTCCCCTCTTCTCCATGGTTCAGTGGGCCCACATTGTCATAGCCCGTCATTTTTTCTTTGCCCCGCCGGGCCGCCATTTCTTGGGCCATCGGGGTCGGAAGCAGGCCCGCCTTACTGTTGGGCCCAAAGTGAACTTGGCCCGCACGCCCTATCTCCAGCCCTAGCCCGATGGACGAGGCAGCCGACTCGCCTGCTCCTGCGGCCACCATTGTCGCCGCCCCCTTCGCGGCTCAAGCCACCGCTACTTGGCTCGTCGCCGCCGCCTCTCCCGACTCCGCCGCCACGATCGGGCCTTCCCCACCCTCATGCCCGAGGTCTACCGGGGTCTCGATCCTCGGCGGATTTCCTTGTTTCGCCTCTGCGTCCAGCGTCAGTTTGCTTAGAGTTCGCCGAATTTCATCCATCTCTTCACGACGTCTATCCTCCACCACCTCTCGATCTACCATCAGCCTCTTCACAGCAACTTGGAGTTCGCCCACTGCAATCTGGAGTTCTTTCAGCCCGGTCTCGTCCACCACCATGACCGACTCCAGAGCTCGAGTCGTCGGGTTCTGCGGGTTCCGTTCCACCGCCGGAGCAGCAGCCGCTGGCCCGCCTTCGTCGCCGCTGCCTTGCCCCGTCGTCGCGGTCGCCTTCTCCCGGGCCGCCGCCTCCGCGGCTTTCTCCGCAGCCTTCTGAGATTTTGTCACCGCCATAACGTGATCTTGCTCTTTGGTGATTTGCTTAGATCAGAACAGGGCTCTGATACCAAATGATAGGAACCTAAAATTAGGTTCTATCGGTTTCTAGGGATTTGGAAGGGAGAGGGATTAGAGAGTGCTTAGGGTTTAATCTTGCTTAGTGGTTAATTCCCACGTACAAGCAGTTTATATAAAAAATGGATAATTCCCTACCGCTACCCGACTTAAATAACCCCCAATTTGCCCCAATAATTCTCAAAGAGTCACAAAATAAGAAACCGACAAAAGTAAAATGAATAAACAAACTATGAAAATGTGGGTTTCTATCAGAATTATCTACCACCATGCTATCTATTAAACCAGTATTTTACCGCTAACAGCATTGCTAAATACCACATTGCTAGCTTGTCCAATTTCCAGTAGATTTCACATACGCGGTCCGTTTTCTCCTATCTTTTAAAAAAAAAAGTAATATCAAGAGAAAAACTAGAAAGAAACCTCTATTCTCAACACCATAGCAAAGTCACCTTTCAAAATTGAAGGAAACTAGCCTCTAAGAGAGAACAGAATTTTACACATCATTTTATGACAATTCACTGGAACCGTCCTAAATACTATACAATGAGGATAATACTCGACTAACTGAGAGCATTCATGAAGTAGAGCCCCTATCCACAACTAAGATGTCAAATGACTCAAATCACCACTTCGAAATCACCTTCCTACGAAGAGAACCTTCTTTTGCAACTGATATGGCATCTCTAGCCACAAACAATTACTCGCACTCTGATGCCGATTTTCTCTCAACTAAATAAACAACTGTATTGTACATTAATGCAAATGAAATAGTACCAAAGACAGATGGATCGAAAGTTTCGCCCATTGTCATACATTTGTTCATCCAAATCAAAATAACACACATATAGCATGTCATCGATATCACTGAAGCTGAAATAAATAAAACAGCATTCCCTCAAATTTCTTCCATTCAGCAAAACATATCAACGCGCTAAGTGACCATCAAACTCAGGTTTCAGCTGAAATTAAATTACCAAGGCCAGGAAGAAAGGAAGAAGGATACAATTTGAACCCAGAAACATCTCTGCAAATTATTGATCTCTTTAAGGTTACCGCACCACTAGGCTGGCTAGTCCACCATAACTTAATCAGATCTTCTAACAACTAAACTGAGAATTAGGCAGGAAGAAAGGAAATACGGAATAAGCGGTTTACATTAACTTTCAATTGGCAGAACAGACTCTACCACCATCAACATCAAGTCTGTCAATTACCTAACCCGCACAAAAAATGCCCCAATTATTTGACAAGGCTCTAATGCAATAAAGTTCGAACGTACTTTACTCATTTGAAGATGAGAGCATCTCGTCCTGGGCCAATGCCAATGTAATGAATTGGGACTCCGACGAGTTCTTCTATCCTTTCGACGTATCTCTGAGCAGCCTTTGGAAGATCTGAGTAGCTTCTAGCAGAAGAAATATCGGTCTGCCATCCTGGCAGTACCTCATATTCGACCTGACAAAAAGAATGAAAGAAAATCAACTCGTCGTTCTTAAAATTGATGCATGAGTATGAAAGCACCCTATTCATTTTCAAAGGCAAGTAGGGGAGAAGAAAAAAAAAAACAAACCTTGAGCTGTTCAAGCAAGCGAAGATCTGCTGGAAAGGACTTAACTGCTGTACCATCAGGTAGCTTATAAGAAACCCCCAATTGAATTTCAGCAAGGTCGGACAAAACATCCAATTTAGTTAGGTTCAAGGAAGAGAAGCCATTTATCTGACAGCAATACTTCAGTGCGACAATATCCAGCCAACCACAACGACGAGGACGGCCAGTTGTTGTTCCGAATTCTTGGCCAGCAAACCTAAGGAGATCTCCTCCTTGACCCGATATCTCTGTAGGGAATGGACCAGAACCAACCCTCGTAGTGTAAGCTTTCACCTGCAATTACAATTATTGTTGCCAGGCAGTGGATGAGCATTATTACGAAAGCATATCCCATCCACTCAGGTTTTCTAAAACCCAACCTAACAGACATTTTCCTCACTTCTACAAAATTTTGAAAAGAAAGTTACTTATTTTCTTTTTGGTAAAAGCTAAAACAAACACAACCGTTATCCACTCACCACGCCGATAAGATCACCAAGAACCCTGGGAGCAATACCAAGACCAGAGCAGATCCCACCTGCTGATGGGCTGGAAGACGTTACAAACGGGTAAGTTCCAAAGTCGATATCCAGCATGGTAGCTTGACCACCTTCCACCAAAACCTTCTTCTTCTGGCTGATGAACTCATTCATAACATACACAGTATCAGCAATGTAAGGCTCCAATCTCTCAGCAAACCTCTTATACTTCTCCACTTCTTCCCTGAGCATTTCGGGGCCATAGTTAAAACCTTGGAATCTCGAAGCAGCGTCCGACAATAAAAGATCAAGCTTCTGCGGGAAAGTATCCATGTGCCTCAGGTCACTTACCCTGATGCCATTACGGATGACCTTGCTCGAGTAGCAAGGTCCAATCCCTCTCCTGGTCGTCCCAATGAACGACTTAGCAAGTTCGGCCTCTCTCAGCCCATCAACCTCTTGATGGAAATCGAATAAGAGGTGAGCACGGTCAGAGACCAATATTCTTCCCTTGCATGACACCCCGTTCGCTTCCAAGCCATCAATTTCCTTAAACAGACCGGGCAAATGCACCACTACTCCATTCCCGATAACACAAAGTGTATCCTCATTGAGAATGCCAGAGGGAACCAGGTGAAGGGCGAATTTCTTCCCCTCAGAATTATAGATCGTATGCCCAGCATTAGCTCCACCCTGGAAATGAACATGAAAGAGAAGGCATTAATGAGGGTAACTACAATCTCTGGATTGCACCAAAAGACAGTCTGAAAATGTTCTGCGTCTAAGCCGAATTGTCAATCAGAATCCCCAAAATCAAAACTAATCCAGCAGAAAAATGCAATGAGCTGGAGCCAGCTTCAACCCCTAGACAGTCCTCACTAATCTCAAAAATTCATGCGAAAAAGGAAAACCGAAACCGGAAATGAAACCATTGTTTATACCTGGCAGCGAGCAACGACGTCGAAATGCTGAGCCAAGATATCGACGAGCTTGCCTTTACCTTCGTCTCCCCACTGGCACCCCAGCACGCCGGCAACTTGACTCAGCGATCCGATTCGAGGGACCGATTCCGTGGAAGCGGAATCGGCGACGCTGAGCGAGGGGGAGGACTTGAGGGCGGAGCAGAGTACGGCGCTGCGGCGAGGAGCAGCAGAGGACAGAGGGAGGCACTGGTAGCGGCGGCGGAAAGAGTTCCAACCGGGAGAAGCGAGCGGATTAGAGTCGAGAGCGAAGGACGAAGAGACTACATCCATGGCGAATGAAGAAGCAGGAGGCTGCGGCGGCGATGATAGTTGAAGGAAAGAAAGCAGTGCGCGGCCGGGTTGGTAGACGGCGGCGGAGCAGAAGTAGTACGCAGTTGAGGGTTTTGAACGTTTGATATTTGATTGGTTCGTTAGAAGTGGAGAGTGTGGGGCCGGGGGAATGATGGATTAACGAGCGGGTGATGGAAGAAAGCTGACTGACGACTGTAGTGGGCACGACCGGCGGCCACGTCTCGGCTGGAAGATAATAACACTTTAGCTCCATGAAGTTTGAAAATGGATCATTTTGGTCCATTATTTTCAAGAGATGGCAAGGGAGCACTATGTGAAGCTGTTCACTAAAACAAACAGAAGTAATCAGCACACAATCACAGCCAACTTCCCTATCCTTGACAGCCACTTTTGGGACAGTATGAAGAGAATCCCAACTTTGGAAGAGATTCATGGCATTGTCAAGGAGATGAATGGATTGAAGGCTTCAGGGAAGGACGGTTTCCATGCTCTTTTCTTCCACAGATGTTGGAAGCTTGTGGGGCAGGACTTCTCCACCTCCATTCGAAGATGTTTCATTGAGCCTGACAGCATCCGTTTCCACAATGAAACGTTGCTGGCCCTTATCCCAAAAATTGACTCCCCTAGTTTTATGAATCATTTCAGACCCATTAGTTTATGCAACGTGGGGTATAAAGTGGTGTCCAAGTGTATAGCTAATAAGCTTAAACACCTCATGCCCCATTTGGTTAAACCCAACCAGTCTATCTTTGTTCCCAAAAGGCACATCACTGACAATATCTTAATCCTGCAGGAAACAGTTCAATGGCAAGGAAAACAGGCAAGAAGGGGATGATGCTTCTCAAACTCGACCTGGCTAAAGCCTATGACCGCCTCGATTGGGATTTCCTTGAAGAAACAATCACCCTGGCTAGTCTACCTCGAAGTATGATCTGTGTCATTATGAAGTGTGTTAATACAGTGGAAATGCAAGTCCTTTGGGAAGGAGGGGAGACACAGAGCTTCAAGCCAACCAGAGGCCTTCGACAGGGATGTCCCCTTAGCCCTTATCTTTTTACTTTATGTGTAGAGAGACTAGGACATTGCATTTCAAATGATGTTAATGAAAAAAAGTGGAACCCTGTTCGCCTCTCCCCTGGAGGGCCATCCCTCTCCCACTTGTTTTTTGCGGACGACCTGGTTCTCTTTGTTGAAGCTTCCGAGAAGCAAGCTGCTATCATTAATCTCTGTGTTGAAAGATTATGTGATGCCTCGGAAGAGCTTGTTAGCAAAGAGAAATCCAGAGTCCTGTTTTCTAAGAACACTAAGGACAGGGATAGAAGGATTATTCGCGAGAAACTGGGTATCCAATCGACTCTTGACCTAGGTAGATACTTAGGGGTGCCTGTTTTTTATGGTAGGATCACTAGGAACACTCATAAGTATCTCATCGATAAAATTGATCAGAGATTGACCTCCAGGAAGGCCAAGACCTTTTCCCTTGCAGGGAGAGTTACACTTGCCATTTCTGTTCTCAACACAATCCCCACCTATGCTATGCAGACAACCCTTCTTCCAGCCTCTGTTTGTGATTTAATTGATAAAAAGATAAGGCAGTTTGTGTGGGGTTCGAATGATGATAAAAAGAAAGTTCATTTAATCTCTTGGGAGAATGTGTGTAAACCTAAACAACAAGGGGGCATGGATTTAGATCAGCTAGAAGTTTAAACATGACTTTTATGATTAAGTTAGCCTGGCAGATCTTTAACAACAGTTCTGATTTGTGGGTGCAGGTTATGCAGGGAAAATATTTTAAGCACAAGGATGGACAGATTGTGGCAATGAAAAGGAGCAACCATTCAAGCCAGTGGAAAGCAATCTTGAAAGCCATGCCCCTGATGAAAAGCGCCACAACCTGGAGCATCAGAGATGGAAGAACTACCAGTTTATGGAATCACCCGTGGCTGGACAATGACATGCTCCTCAAGGATCACCTTATTCAGGGTGCTGATCTGTGTCATGATAACTCTACGGTGGCTGACTGGACTGATGCAGATGGAGAGTGGGATTGGCAGAAGTTTCAAAACCTTTTCACTCCTGACATTTTGTCCCTGATTGCGGGAATGGAACCTCCAAAAGAAGAACTTGTGAAGGATAAATGCATTTGGGGACTGGAGAGGGATGGCAGATTTCAACTGAAATCTGCGTACAAGCTTGCAGCGGATCAGTTAGACTACACTGGAGATGATCTCTGGAGGTGGAACGGACCAAGCCGGACGAAGCACTTCCTCTGGTTGGTGATGCATGATAGACTTCTAACCAACAAGGAACGAAACTGCCTCCACTTATGGAACCTGCCGCCACTGCAAGGACGTGGACGAAACTACAGAGCACATCATCAGAAGGCGCAACAAGACTAGGAACATTTGGGAGAAGTTCAGATCCAGAGTTACGTGCGATGACAGCTCTCTGCCTTTCACTACTTGGATGACACGCAATCTCAACAATGCTTTCCATGGAGTGGATTTCGGTCTGATTGTATGGCACCTCTGGAAACAGAGAAACGAAGAATGCATGAATGGTAAAGCGTATGTAGAGAATCACTTCTTTGCAGGATCGATGCTTGGTTTAAAATTTATAAGATAGCTCATCAGCATGTGGAAAAGAGCCTTTTCCCTCCCATCGTGCGAAGAGAAGAACAGATTGGATGGAAGCCCCCCCCCCCCCCTGAGGGATGGGTAGAAATCCAAAGTGATGGGTCTGTCCTCTCTCCCTCAGGAAGTGCAGCCGCTGGAGGGCTCATCCGCGACTGCTTGGGAAGATGTCTTGTGGCTTTTGCAGGTAATCTAGGGACCTGCTCGATCACTGCAGCAGAGCTTAAAGGAGCAGTGGTGGGACTTCAGATGGCCTGGGACAGAGGCCACCGTAATGTTCAGCTGAATCTTGACTCTGCTACGGCGGTGACCATCATCAAGAACTGCGCGGATGATGAGCATGGACATGGTCTCCTTGCGCAGCATGCTTTCAATCTTTTGAGTCGTGATTGGGACGTTGTGGTCTCTCACGTGTATAGGGAAGGAAATAGAACGGCTGACTATCTTGCTAGTCTTAGCCATAGCTTACCTTTTGGAACACATCATGTTGATGTGTGTAGCCCTGATCTTTGTAGGTGGTTAGATTATGATGTTATGGGAATCTCCCAACCTCGTTTTATTAATACATGATCCTAGACGTCCTTGACGTCTGTCTTTTTACCCAAAAAAAAAAACTACATACTTTGTATATAGGTTTGTCTTTTTATCATTGTTATAAGAACCGAACCGGATCAACAGCCGGACTAGTAGAACCGTCAAATCAGTTACGATACAATGTTTGGACAGTTATTGATGGACCAAAGGGTTTTTCACGGTTCAACATAAAATCAGATGAACCACCACGGTTTAACTGGTCCACGGATTCACTATTTTAACAAAAAAAGGTTTAAAAAATACTTTAACATAAACTAAGACCATCAAACCATAATTATTAATTTTATATATGCTTCCTCTTCTCATTCCCACCTTGTTGTCGACTTTACGTTGTCCACTATCGACTGACACCGTAATTTTTAATTTGTATAAAAGAATATATGATTTCTTTTATGAGATGGTTTGAATGATTTATTAAATATTTTGGTGATGATATGAATTTGAAATTGTTTATGGTCAACGATAATTTCATTCTTAAATTAGTGTAATATACAGATTTTAAAAGTTATATATTATGAACGGTTCTATCAACGATTTTTTAACGGTTAACCACTGGACCCTAAATCACTAACTTCTCCGGTTCAGTCTCCGATACGGTTCTAAAAACAGAGCTTTTTATAATTTGGTACTACTTAAGCAATTTGAAATTGAAATCTCTAGGTTCAAAATTAGTGGTATTACCACTAGATCAAATTATTTTTTTGTAACTATTTCTTTGATTATGGTTTTTATAATCTTTTTAACATAAATCGACTGAAACAAAAAGAAAGAGGAAATTGGAAAAAAAAAACAGACCGGTAAAGCATACTGTGGTAAAAAAAAAAAAAAAAGATACTGATGCTATTGTTGGCTTCTTCTTCCTTCACCTTTCTCATGAACTTATCAAACTTCATGTCCAGCTCCTCTGTACTGATAAGCACTGCAACTCTTCCTTCCTCTTCTGATCTTTGATCTTCTTCTTTTTTGGGTATTACCCATGATGAAGGATTCTAATAGGAGATGGTAACAAATGGGTTTCAAAATTTCACACTTAAACTTTTACCTTGCCTCTTTCAACCTATATACCACCTTGTTTTTCTATGTAAAACAAAAAGAGCTCACCCCTACGTAAAATCCTTTCAAACCAAAGCTTCAGTTCTCTGATCTGCTAATCTTGTATGTGTATGTTTGAGTTCTGTGTGTCTCAAAAATAGAAATGATCTTCCTCCAAGTAAGTTCTTTAACTGGATATTTCTTCATTTGCTTCCCCCTCTCAAGCATTCTTGGGGTACCCCAAAATCTTTTTTTACATGGCCAAGCTGCTCCCTCCAAGGATCGTTATGCAACTTGTAGTGCAGAACCTAATCAAGGCGAGTAAATGAAGAGTTCAGTAGGACAGAAAAGCATATTTTGAACTTTCCAATTCATGTTCACAGTTATGGTATATTGATATGGTCCTTCCACCGTTTCTGGCCTAAACATTGTTCTTGCTGAAGAAAGGAAACTGAGTTGATTAAAGAAGCTCCAACATGAAAACGGAGTTAAGTACCTGTAGAAATGTTGTGAAGACATCATCCTCGGTCAATTTTGATAGTTCGTTCGCCCAATCTGCCACGAGACCCAATTTGGTTTTCTGCCTCGAAGCTTCAAGCAACAACGAATCACGATACATGAATCGTTGCCACAATTTCTTTACGTTCCTCAACTTGAATCCAATCTCAGTCTCGTTGAATGCCTACAGGAAGTCAGCAAATGTGACCCGTTAACTTATCTTTGTTTTCAGCAAAGGGCATCAAAAAGTGCAGATGTGTGTATAAACCACTAAAAGCATTACCTTCAGAACTTTTATCAGGTTTGGAATTTCGTCTTCTTGAAGTCTGACAGCAAAGCTTTCATAATTGAGCACATTCTCATATGGGAGGAAAATCCCATCCTAACCACAAGGGAAAAAAGGATAGATAAGACCTCTAATCTTCAGCCTTCTAATGCCAGATCATGAATCAACGGCAGAAATACAGTACCTGGATGACCACAGGGATACACCCTTGCAAGATGCTATCTTCCATACGACCACTCCAACCATCTCCTGGCAATACTCCACAGAATAGTGAATTGGCTAAATCACCGTGGTAATTTTCAGTGCGCTGTGAAGTCACAATCACATCTTCCATGTGCTGCTTCCCAAGCTTCCCATCCTTGTTAGGACTTGAACCAAACTCTTCAGCAAGTTTCTGTCTGATACCCAAGCTATACCTGAATGCATAGACAGAAAATTAACCATTACAACTGCTGAAAGACTTCAAAAACGAAAAAAGGGAAGAAAAGGCAGGGTGACTCGCCATATGCTCCCAGAACATATAAAATTAACTACCCATAATACTAGGAGTCTAGGACAGTAACAAATTTACTTACGAAGCTTCTGGCCTTCCATTTTCATATGCTGGACCAAGATTTCCATTAAAGTAGAATAACGTCTTCCGCATCTCATGAGGCCTGCACATAGAGAAAAAGATCTTCACTTTGCTTACTTCTGTGCCTAGAGCTATGTTCATGTATAGATCAGCCAATTCTGAAAAGCCAAACCCCTAAGTACTTCATTTCAACTGCTGTTTATAAGACATACCTGGCCCAAAGTTTCATGCTTAAGGAGCCAGCATCAGGGCGTTTCCAAGCAGGAAGTACAAGATCTTTGTGAGGATCAAAACATGGATGAGTGCCTCTTCTATCAGAAGTAATGGTATCCCAATTGTCAGCCCAATAGGCTGTTGTTGAATGATTATGCTTGGAGTTTGTATTACCCCAATGAACCAGCATCATGCTATTCCATATCTCCTTAGGAGCATAACAAGCACCCTCGTCCCATGCAAAAGACTGCCCAAAAATGGTTTAATCATCATTGTTATGGTAAACTTCTAATCCGAGAGGAAGAGACAATCAGCAAAGATTCAGTCTATGCTCTTCCATGTTACAAATGAGCAAAAATCAGATCATACCCAAATGTGGTCTCTGCCCGATGAACGGTTCCAAAAGGGATGATGCTCAACTATATGATCATATGCCTTCCGATAAAGGTCCAAAGTAAACGAGCTCCTTATGCCCCTATGCTCCTGAAAATAACAAGTGATACAGTTTAAACTTGGAGAAAATAATTTATAGCTCTTAACATTTTTATTACTTCTTTAGAACATTACCTGCAAGCTCAAGTGAGGTGCATCATCTGCTCGAGTGATGATGCATGAATCAAGCACAGGGACAAAGAAAAAGTCAGCTTCCTCACCATTTAAAGTACGATGTGCACTAGCCAAAAGACTTTCGTAGATTGCCATCTGCATAGTTCGCAACAAACAGTAGCATCTTTTTGAATTAGAGGTTTGTTCACACAAGTTAACAACATAAGTTGATGTCAAAGAAAGATCAAGCTGGCACCAGGCATCAAATAGTTGATGAAAATACAGCCTGCAGTAATTTCAATACCTGGGATCCATAGAGTTGCTCAGTCCATATTGTTGCATTCCCATCATCATAGATTCTGTTTACACATTCGAGCTTAAAATGTCTCCCCTAAGCAACCAAAGAAACAACATATGTGAGATGCCAACTTACAAGATATAGGAAGTGACAAAGCTGATATAATTTTTACCTCCAGAAGCAGACTATTGAACTCAGGAGGTAAATCATATACATAAACCAGGGGCCTTTTCTTCTTCGTGAGAGCATTGAGATCGAATAATGGAGTAGTGAGATTCTCATTATTAGGGATATCAAGCTGGGCAGGGCGGAGCCACCTAGGCCACCCGCTAACCGGAGATAGAACAGATGGGATACTGCAGTCCACCCCATACCAACCACTGCGACACTGAAACAAGAGGTTTTTTCTTATCATGAGACATCAAGCTGTTACGTGTTCTAGGAGAATATCAACACCACCGATTATCAGTTTCTGCTTAATTTCTTATACAAATAAGAACACTTCTTATCTTATTGTTCAGATGCAAATTTATGGAAATGTTTGGAACATTTGAAAGGGGATAGAAGGACATCTAACCTGACAAAATCCGCCACGACAATGCCCATGTCCAGAGCACTGATTGATACAGACACACTGCACAGGCACTTCACAGAACCGACCAGAAAGACCATCATACTTGCAGTCGCATTCCTCTTTAAATTTCATCCTAAAAGCATATGCTTCAACCGGGTCAACATTGCACCACCCTGCTTTGCTACTGTTTGTTGTGAAAATATTAGCCAAGTCATCTTTTGTCCAATCTGTCAGTATGGGAGCACCAGGTTCAACAGGATGGCTAAAAAGACACAAAGAGTCAGATATCAGACATATTTTCCGCCAAGACAACAACAAACCAACGTCAGGATAAAAATACAAATCCATAACACTCACTTGATTTGAAATCCGCAAGCTTCTGCTACAGGACGATTTGGATATTTTGTACCCTCTCCACAGAAGCACATTGCTCTTGTTGTATCACAGTGAGCAGGGCAAATGGAAACAACCCATCGACCATATGGTTGCTCTGGTGAAGTAGGAAGATTACATTGCAACTGCACTCTCTCGGAGCATCCTTCCCCTACTCCATCAGCAACGCAGACACCAAGGATAAGCAGTTTTCTTCAGGATCAGGACATGAGTGTTCGTTTTTCTTCTTTAATTCTTAATTTCTCCCTATGCTTAGTTTCTATAAACAATTTCAGAATGACTATTGTTCATCAAAGGAAACTTACACATATAAAAGGACATTTTCACCCTTCTGTTGACGGATAATTGACCAAAAAATACGTGGCAACAATGCTTGTTTGTGTTTTACAGTTACTTAGTGATGCAAACTCAATGAATTAATGCGAAACCAATATCCGGTTAGCCTTCTGAACTTTTTGGTCGACAGCATGATCAACTACTCTCAAGACATAGGGATGAACTGAAAATGCAATCAGACTCATCTCTTACAAAACATTACTTCAAGAAACTAATGACTCAGGGTCAAACTGAAGTTGTATCATCGCAGAACCATATGCTCCTTTCTAGTGTTTCTACCGAGAGAGATGAAGGAGACAATGTAGAATACTAAGCAACTTCGAGAAACAAAGAAAGTAAAACTATACGGTAAGCAAAACTAGGGATCACCTGTAAATCCATGGAAGCACCGACATTCTCCCAATTCATAGTTGCAAACACCTTGACCACTACAGTCATCTTTGCAGCGTCTGCCACCGATTATCTGCCAAGCGTCATAACAGTAATGAGATTTGAGAAGGGTAAGGATCAGGGTCTTTCTTTATCCTTATTATGCCCCCTTTGCATCTTAGCAAAAGGATTACTGTGGTTACTGACAATATATTGGGAACAAGCAACTCCACAAATGAAACTTAGACAAGCTTCTAAAAGTATTCCCACTACCTCAGAAATGTTGGCATCCTTGGCAACTGAATCGCAACCAGAAAGCCACCGCCCTATCTCAGCCTTCCATGGTGCCTTACGATAGACCACTGCCCCATGCAAGTCAGCAGGAAATCTATGATGAAGATCAACTCTGGGTTGCAGATTTTCCCAAACATGTTGTCTGGCTGTTGCGTTAGGAGGGAGACATCCACTCTGAGTAGCTTCCCGGATTCTCAGGTAATCAAATGAAGGATCAACAGGAAACATTAATAGGTAAACTATTGAAAACAATGCCACAGCTGAAGCAATTGCAGCAGTGAGGGGCCATGAGCATTTCCATTTCTGAACCGCCATCATTGTTTCCAAACAAACCCCTCACAATCACAGAATTCTCCCCCTCTTCCAAAGTTACAGGAAAGTAACCATCCCTCTTTCACCAATCAAACCCATGAAAGCTCCTACAAGGAAATCAAACGCACAATCATAAACCACAATCGTCACTTACCCTCATTCAGAATTCACCAAAGTTCCTAACTTTTTTCACAGAAATTATACGTCCGATTCAACGACAGGATAATTCCAAGAACTAAAGCTGAAAAAGCACCAAAAACAGAACAACAATGCAGAGAAGTTGATAAATTAATGAAACCCGTGTATCAAAGCCATCCAATTATCAATAACCAGATTGCCAGAGGCATAAAAGAAGCAGCAACAGACATTGAAGTCACCTTCAAGCCGATGAAATCCAATAATGCAGGGCGGAAGTCAACAACCCAGAAGCGGGAGAAGGGGGGAGAAAGTAGAATGACGGGAGACGAGGCAGGAGACGGGGTTGACGAACAAATAACTCTCGCTCCTTGACAAGATTCCATCTGAACGCTGGCATTCAACTGGAATCCAAAACGAAATATAAAATAATCCAATAGCTGTCCAATTGGAGGGATCGTGGAGGGTGGTGCGCTGAATCAAAAATGAAACCCCCACCAAAAACAATTACAGGACCGGAAGGTGGCGGAGGGTGAGGTCAATGGTGGTATTTTCTTTTGGGTAATAATGTGCAGAAGGGGCCAAGGATCGTAGCCGCCTCCTTTGGAAATCAACGTTGATGTTTCTTTGCGGGTCCTTTTGTTTTCACAATCGTTCTCTTCCTGGTTCAGAGGATCAGGCTTGGGTGTCAGAAGACTGGAAATGATGGAATGTGGCACCGTTTTGAGTCTTCTACGGCGTTTTGGAAAGGAAATCAACGTCGTATCAGGTACCTTCAAATGAGTAGAACTAATGGTGGCATCTTCTACCAAGTAACTTTATCTAAAACTCTCAATTTTAAAACTACAAACCCAACAACTAATTAGCATTGTGATATTGTAGTACTTATTTGTTATTTCTATAAAAATCAACGTCGTATCAGGCTAGCGTACACCTGGCGTATGCTATACACCTGTGTTCACACTCATTAATAATATTAATTATGATTAATTTAATTATTAATAAAAATTATAATTACAATAAGATCCTTTAGTTTATATTTTATATACTACGGCCGACAAACACTTAATTACGAGAAACCTTCCTAATTTATTAATTTAGCATCCTCAAATTGGATCACCCAGCGTCGGTCTCCCCTACATACAACGTATGGAATAAGAACTTGAAAAGAAAGATCAAGATTTGTATTCCAGCCTTGCAATAAATAGATTAGTGTTCCCGGTCTTCTCTAATGCTTCACTCTTCTCACTGCAAAATCGTTGACGAGCACCGCCCTTTGGCTCTTGACAATGGCCGGGTGGAAGACGTCGACCCAATTGAGGCAACATGCATCTGAATCCCCATTCTGGGTCACCGTCATGCTCTATGTATTCTTCTTTGTCAATTTCGAACGAAGTAGAGAGTTTGTTTCGGTTCTACGGAGCTCGATCAGGAAGTAGGAATGCATACACCTTTGCTATGGATTCCCGTTGGCAATATGAGAATAACTTTAAGCTAGCTTCGAAGAAAATAGCTTTGAGGTCTCATAACTTACTATTGGAGTATAGAAATGTCAGAGAGATGGAACAGGCTAGTGGGATATGAGTAACTCTGGCAAGCAGAATTCCATTCAGAAGCCACCACAAATGGGTGAAATGAAAGTGAATAAGGATGTGTGATGTATGGGTATGGAATGAACAAGGTCGGGATAGTCGTGCGTGACTAGGAAGGGGGGCTTTACTTTAAAGCAACTGGAAAATATTCCAAACTACTAGACTTACAAAAAACAATTTTCAACATATCATACTTATAGAAAAGAAATTCTCAAAATCCCAAAGTTTGGAGCAATTCGTTACAATTGAGATCGCGGAAAACAAGAGCGATCTACCCTAAATCACCGAAGAATAAAGCGACAGGCCTCAAAGGTCTGCTTTTCTCTCTCGTTCCGGGTTCAGCAAGATCATTAGGCATTAGCCGATAAGGCCACTCGTGCTATTAATAGACGTTTGGGAATTGGTCGATCCATAACCCTCCCAGTCATCCTGCTTCAGGGTAGCTCAAAGAACTCTTCCCCATGCTACGAACTTTGTCCGGAAGCGTGCTCGGCATCCCATGATTGATCGCCTACATGCGAAGTGACAAGATTCTAATTACCCTCCTCTGTTATCAATTATGAATGAACTAGTGGTTGATTTAAGCCATATGGCTAATTAATAATTAAGAGTGAGCTTTGATTAAATGTTGCCGAAAAATGCACTGGTGTGTTTGGGTGTATTTTATTCAAATCCATTGTGAGGGTTAGTGTTTTGGGTATTGCAGACGACTACTGCAGAGATGTAGAGTTTCATTGTGAAAGTGGGCTCTCATGGAAAGAAGAATGGTAAGAATCCGGACCAAAGCGTAAACAACAATTAATTAATGGCGGTGGTTGTAATTAGAATTATTAATAAAAATTAATTTAATAAATGATTAATAAGTGTGAACGCAGGCGTATGTCATACATCAGGTGTACGCTAGCATTTGCCATATATATATTGTAGTACTTATCAACGCGTGTATAACGCATGGATTTATTACAATACAACAATTTAATGTACTCAACTTTTAAATGACCCCTTAAAATTTCGGGTTAGTTTGTTCGACGAATTAAACTCCCTCAATTCATAATTGATAATGGTTCGTATCAATATTTTCATTGTAGTTGAGGAAATCGCTGCTTCGCTTTTTCAGAACCAGGAAATCGTGTGCGACTAGCGTTTGCTCGCACGGCGCTCCTCGATGACGGCAACAAGATCGCCGGCCACCCCGACCCTTCCACCGGAGGAAGCCAAACCTCCAGACTCCTTGGGGGGCATACGCAGGCCTCCTGGGGTGTCATCGTCTCCTGATGGGAAGAAGGACCGCGAGATTCAACAACCAAAGAAAAGAGTCTGGCCGCTGAACGTCACTGATGACGGCAGCAGGTCGGAAGAGGTGTTGGTTGAGGATATCACGAAGGAGGAGGTGCAAAACACTAAGGAATCGGAGCCTCTGCGGGGTAACACAGGATCGAAATCGAACACAGCAACGCCGCAACCGCCGTCGGTAGCCTGGGGCGGTCGCAAGAAACTCTTCAGTGAAGCTGTTAGGGAGGAATCATGGTATGTGGAGGAATCAGATGTCGAGGACGTGGTGGAAGAGATGTGTGAGGATACCCAACAAAATACCACTGCTGAGGAAGAAGACCCCCGCTGCCCTACGATCTATTTCTCACCGGAAAAGTGGCGGAGCTATAGGTGTGAGTGGAGATCAGCTCTCATGGTGAAGGTCCTTAGTCGCTCCTATCCTTACCCAATCATGGCCAAACACCTGAACATGTTGTGGGCACGGAACGGGATGATTCAGATAACAAATAGGCCAAACGGATACTTATTTGTTCGATTCACAAACAAGATGGACTATGAACTAGCTCTCACAGGTGGCCCTTGGCTGATCGGGGACAATTATATTACTATTCAGAAGTGGAAGAAGGGGTTCAACCCAAGAACTTGCCAGATTGACTCTACTTCCGTTTGGATTAGGTTACCGGCTTACCCATTGAGCTTTACCATCCGGAAGCAGTGCTACGTATAGCTAAGAGAGCGGGTACACCGATCCGGGTTGATTGAGTGACAGAGCTGGGAGTTAGAGGCGTTTTTGCCAGGGCTTGCTTTGAGGTTGACCTAACGAAACCCCTTTTGTCGAAGTATAAGGTGGCAGGAGTGGAGTATGAAATCAAGTATGAAGGCTTGGATAATATCTGCTTTGAGTGTGGAACCTATGGGCACTCTAAGACCCACTGCCCCACGTTGCACAAGCCTGACGAACCAAGCCGAGAACCTGCTGATCTTGTTCAGAACCAAGGGCAGAAGCATGAGGAAATGTATGGGGAAGGATGATAGCAAAGAGGAGGGAACGTCAACCCAATAAGAGAATGGAAGCGGGCAGAGTTGGGAGTCAGGGTCCTCGTAATGCTTTCGAAAGTCAGGATCAGTCGGGATCTCGCTTTAAAATTCTTAGTCAATAAGAGGAAACTACTGCCTCGCCCCAACAAAGGGTGAGTCTAGAATTGGCAAAGAGAGATTGAAACCCAGAAAGTTCCAACCGAAAGAAAGCGAACGTTGTTGTCCCAGTGTTGAAGAAGCAGCAAGTCTGGCTAGAAAAACAAACTACTGACCGCAGTCTCCACAGGAGGAGAGACAACAATTGAGTGAGATACTAAAGGGTACCTCCCCTCCTAATGATACAGCCATGACGGAGGAGTCAAACATTGCTGCATTCCCTTTAGTGGAACAAGAAAGTCATAACCAAGGTGGGAGGACATTAAGTACAACAACAGCGGGGGAGTGTCTAGTGGCGGGCCAAACGAGGGGTGCGGGTGACCAGTGCAACAGGTCGGTAGCTACACCGGTAGCCATGAAAACCATGCAAACCTCGCCACCAAATGAGGAAGTCACAACAATGAGCGTCGACTCCGGTAATCAAGTAGTGAGTGGTGACGTGGAGAGAAACCCTCAGGGGGTGCTCCCAATCCCTACCTATGAAATCCCAGGTTACCCTACCGATTCCTGTGATCAGATGGACTTGAAAATTTCCACATGGAATTGTAGGAGTGCGGGAAGAGATCGCTTCCTTCGTGTATTTAAAGAGTACAAGAGAAAATACCATCCCCATATGGTCGTCATCGTTGAACCGAGAATTAGTGGGGACAAAGCGACGCAAGTAATTGCACAGATGGGTTTAGACAAATCACTAGTTGTTGATGCGAATGGCTTTTCGGGTGGCATATGGCTTGTATGGGACGATTCAACGGTACAGGTAACAGAGAAGGATCAAACGGGACAATTGCTTTGCGCCCAAGTTCAAATGGGGACCGCCAACTTTCTATTCACGGTTATCTACGTGCATCCAACCTTAATACAACGATGAGCATTGTGGAACTCCATTCGGTTCCTAGCCGATGATGTTGATATGGCGTGGCTGCTAGCCGGGGACTTTAACTCCATGCTTGGCTCGTTCGAGAAGTTTGGAGGAGCACCCTTTGATGTGGGTTGCGTCCGCGAGTTTCAAGACTACTTACTTGACGCCGGATTAACAGACTTGGGATTCGTTGGACCGCCATTTACATGGTTCCGAAGGGCACGGAAGAAAGACTTTATCGAGGACTTGCGAACTCCCTTTGGACCGCCCATTTCCCAGAAACGACGGTTCGACACTTGCCGCAGGTCAAATTGGATCATCGCCCTCTACTTATAAGAACAAACCCGGATTTGCTCCACCTGGACCAAAACCATTTAAGTTCTTGTCTTCGTGGTTGACTCACAGTGGCTTCGCATATATGCTAAAGGAGGCGTGGGCGAAAGGATCAGACCTCAAGAGTTGCTCCCAAGCATTTGCTAGGGATGTGAATCACTATAATAAGCATACATTCTGCCATGTCTTGAGACACAAGGATCGCCTTCTGCTGAGAATCGAAAGGTTAGAAGATCGATGGGGTGGGTATTCGGATCTGGGAGGCCTGTCTGAGCTCCAAACCGAACTGGAAGAAGTGCTTTTGTAGGAGGAGATAACGTGGTGCCAAAAATCTAGTACGGACTGGGTTCGGTGGGGAGATCAGAATACTAAATTTGTTCACACTCGAACTCTTCGTAGAAGGAAGAGAAACCAGATTGTCGCCCTTAAGAACTCGCACTCCGACCCATAAGCTTATGCGATGTCGGCTATAAAATTCTCACCAAATGATTGGCAGAGAGATTGAAGCCTTTTATGCCGGACCTGGTGCATGAGACTTAGACGAGCTTTGTCCTCGGGAGACATATCACTCACGATATTTGCATTTTGCAGGAAATTGTTCACTCTATGCGTGCTAAATTTGGGCGCTCAGGGTAGATGGTGATCAAAGTCGACCTAGCCAAGACGTACGATCAAATCAGATGGAGCTTTGTCCGAGACATGCTTACGGCGGCAGGTGTGCCGGAGAAGTTCACAAATCTCACCATGCAGTGTATTTCCACGTCTAGAATGCGGATTCAGTGGAACAATGGATTGACAGAGGAGTTCTCTATCTTCTGAGGACTGCGTCAAGGCTACCCCTTGTCCCTGTATATTTTCACCCTGTGCATGGAGAGACTGAGTCACTTAATTACTAATGCTGTGGAGACCGGCAGCTGGAAACCGATCAAGCTCTCCAATTCAAGCACTGCTCTATCTCATTTGTTTTTCGCTGACAATCTCATCTTGTTTAGTGTGGCTAATCCCGTGCAGGTACAAGTCATTAACCAGTTGTTTGAAGTCTTTGGGAGTGCATCCACACCGCAGATTAGCAGGCCCAAGTCGAGGGTGTATTTCTCCAAAAACATATCGAGTACTCTTGAAGACTCCCTCAGTAACGAATTGGGCATACCTCAGACCTCTAACCTGGGGCGGTACCTCGGCGTCCCGGTAATTCACGACCGTGTTTCGAGGACAACGTTCATGGAGCTGATTGACAGGATCGATGGCCATTTGGCAGGCTGGAGCATAGCCACTCTATCTTTGGCTAGGCGCATCACTCTGACGCAATCCGTCCTAGCATCACTCCTAACTTGCACCATGCAGACCACTTTCCTCCCAGCAAGTGTTCGAGAATACATTGACAGGAAGATTCGAGGATTCATTTGGGGTAGCTCTGAAACCGGACGAGAGATCCACATGTTGGACTGGAGCACACTCTGTCGATCAAAAGAAGAAGGAAGTCTTGGAATGTGGGATGTAACAACGTTGAACGAGACCTTTATGATGAAAATAGCTTGACGTTTGATGAAGGAACCTGATAGTCTTTGGGCACGGGTTATCCGAAGCAAGTATCTTCGACCTGTGGGTGATTCCTGGGTTCCTCGAACAACGGGACACATCTCCAACCTATGGAAGGGGGTTATGCGGGTCCTTAACAGAATTCATGAAGCACTAATGTGAAACATTGGCAATGGGTGATCGACAAGGTTCTGGACTAACCGATGGATCAATGACGGACTAGTCTTAACTGAACTGGCGGTGGGACTCCCCCAGGAGGCTTCCTCTATATCAGTGGCGGAGATGGTCTTGAACAGGGAGGGGAATATTGCTTATTTACAAGCCTTCCTCCCGGACAACATGGTGGAGCAGATATAGATGCATGACATACCCCAAGGAACATAGTGTGATGTGACACGCTGGTAGTGTACGGCGAACGGGGAGTTCACTCTAAAATCGGCCTATGAGCTTCTTGATGAGGCGAGCCATCCCCTACACGTCCACCCCATCTGGAAGAAGATATGGAAAATCCCAACTATGCAGGAAATTAGGTCCTTCTTCTGGCTAGTCGGTCATGGCTGCCTCCTGACGAATGTTGAGAGAAATAGGTGTAATTTGACGAATGTACGCTGCTGCCCGGTTTGTGACGGAGAAGACGAGTCAGTATCTCATGTCCTTCGGGACTGCCCGTATGCGAGAGAGGTATGGTCTGACTTCCTTGGGGATGAGCAAGATGAGAAATTTTTCTCCCCAGAGATGACGAGCTGGCTGATGCACTATTTATCGGGGAGAAGTAAAAATATAGACCCATCTTTGTTCATAGTTGTGTGTTGGCTGCTTTGGAAAAATCGGAACTCTCACATTTTTTAGAAGAGAATTTTTGCAGCATCTCACATCCAGGTGACTGCTAGGATGTTGCGAAAACAGATCGGAGAGGCGGTGAGGAAGGGATCAGTGGTCCTAGAAGAACAGAGGACAGGAGAATGGAGCTGCAATGGCTGGAGCTGGACGCAACCCCAACCGAGCTGGACCTGTGTGAATACAGATGGGTCGGTGAAACTTGCTGCCCAAAGCGCGATAATTGGTGGGGTAGTGAGGGATGAACAGGGGTGATTTCTGGGAGCCTTCATGATGAATCTGGACGGCGGCACGATCACCCACGCGAATTAACGGGTGTCTTTCAGGGACTGAACAGAGCTTGGGATCTTGGTGTGCAGAAGACTGTCCTCCGAACCGACTCTAGAACGACAATTGAGCTCATTGAATCGACCACTTCTACAAGCCCGCACTATCACCTAGTGATGCAAGTGCGGCGGATGATTCAACGAGATTGGGAGGTCCGCATCGAGCATACGTTTCGGGAGGGTAATGTGGTGGGTGACTTCTTGGCTTCGACGGATCACGATCTTCCGGTGGGGATGCACTTGATTTCAGTACCCAACCCGATGCTACAGCCTGCAGTACTGGTTGTTGTTTGATCTTGTAGGGAGTCAACCTCCCTGATTTATTTTCCAGTTAGCTTGGGGCGCCTGAGCCCCTATTCTTGCAAAAAATTAATAATTGGTAATGATTTTAGATTAATCATATTTGATCAGGGCAGACATACCCAACTTCTAACCACATAAGTATTACGATATACTCAATCGTAATCTTGAGTTTCGTAAATATGATTGTTAAGACAACTTTCATGGTTAGGGTGTCCGACTGTGATCTTCGTCTACTAACCCTGATCTTTGGTCGCTTTTTCTCATTGTGACAACACTTGGCTCGCCTGCACCAAATTTACCCCAATTAATCCCAAATCGTGCTAAGCCTTAAAAATAAAGCATATGACTACTTCTACCCTGATATGGGCACATTTATGATAAATATGGAACAATAATACGTAAGGAATATGAAATGTGGATAAATGTTGTGTTATTTACGATTGAATGCAATTAAACAAGTATGTCGTTTATTTGCACTCATAGCATTTGTAGTCGAACAGTTAGGATAATTGTCTTCCAAGTAATAGACCCGAGTTCGACTCCCGACAGACGCAACATAAACTTTTTACCTTATATAAAATAATACTTTTGTGTTTTTAAATGTAATTGTGTTTGCCTTTTTAATCTAAATACTATCAAAGTGATGTAATTCTTTTACTTGGGTTGGAATATTTGATATTACATTCATTTAATGATAAATATCAACAAATGCATCCAACTAATAAGTAATAATGAATTTTGGAAAATCAAGCGAATTGTTACAATAGTGAAGCAATGATATTTAAACTTAGATTTTCTTTACTAAAAACACTAGATTTTCTACATTTTTAATTGACTTATATTTCATTAGTTTTTTTTATAATGATGACAACAATTATTATTTAACAAGGAATTGAAAAGAAAACCACCAAACAAACAAGAGCAAATGATCCAAACAAACACAGAAACAAGAACCACGCCTGTTAGTTTAAACTTAGATTTTAAAAAGTTATGCACAAAATAAACATGTTAATTGCGACCTAGAAAATAATATTCGTCTTTATATATCTAGCAAAAAAAAAAAAACATTCAAACAAATTATACCACTGCCTAACTTATTCGTTTAACTCAAATATAATTTTTTCTGCAGGAAAAAAATGAGCTCATTATGGTCGACCACCATTCTACAAGAGTGGCAAATGAAAGAATTATATTTTGCAAAATATACTCCTTGGTTTACATTTCTAAGTGAAATGAATATGTTTTTCAATCAATTATTTATTTGTAATTTGTAGTGTTTGGAATCACATGAATTGAATTAATTTCATTTCATTTTAAAATGAATATCTCTATAGAATTCATTGTAAAATGAATTATTTTATTTGAAATGTCATACTTAAATAGTTAGAAATACATTAACATATTGTTTGTTATAAATGAATTCCATACGTTTTGAGAAATTCATTTAGAAATGAAACATTTTTGTGTTTGATATTTTAAAATTTTCATTTTCAATTCTAAATTTTGAATTCTATGGAATTTGAGCTAGTTATAGCAATTCTGAGTAAATGAGATGAAATTTTCAAATAAATTTCACAAGTATTTACTAATTATAATAGAATGACATAATTATTATATTTTATTAACTAAATTACTTATACATATGACATACCAAATACAAGAATGCATTTGACAATGAATTCTACACTGTAATTAATTTTCTTTCTACAGATTTGAAAATGACATACCAAACACAAGATTTCATTTGACAATGAATTACATATGATATTTCATCTTACAATGAAATAAATTTTTGATTCATTTGGTACCAAATGATCTGTAGGTTAAATTCCCAATTTGTGTTTGGAATACGTTTAGAATTAAAGTATATTAACAGTTTCCAATCACACCCTTATTAATTCCGGAAAACAACAACATTGTTATTACTCATTGAAAATTCATCTCCTAAAAAAGCAAGTGACGACATCCAACTAATCCGACCAAGCAAAAAACAAAAATCGTAAGAACTAGTAAACAATTTGAAGATCCATCTTCCAAAACATCCATTGTAACTCAATTTTTTCTTTAGCTGTGAGAGATTGATTAGAATTGAGTAGTGATTCAGCGGGGAAGGTTAGGCATGCAAACTTGGAGTACTAGCTCCAAATTATATATATAGGGGTAATTTACTCATAGTTCAATAAGACGTAATTCCACATATGCATAGACGCGCCTAGGTGCTAGGTAGTGGGAAAATGTCTCGTCTAGGACCTAGGCAAACAATTAGGCAACTAAAGGCTAGGCGGCGCCTCGACATCACCTCAGTGGAGTTAGGCGCGATTAATCAGAGATAGGGGGTCAGATGACTAAAGATAAAATAGACAATTGTATTAAATGTCTCAAAATGACACCACTTTATGTTTGATTAGTTCCTCCAACGATCCGTCCTAATATGCCTCCTTCCTTGATTGGAATATAAAAAATAAGACGACAGAGCTCTCGGAATTGCAACAACTTATCCCTTGCCCCGAAATTCAACGTCTTCTACTGGAGTTCTTCTCACCTCCAACTTCCGTTGACCCGATGCTATGTCCTATTATTCGCCACCATCGATCGCTAAACAACCAAAATCATGTCTTCATATGTACGACTTCAGTTTCTCTCCCGTTTGTATCTAACTTCGATCGCCCAGTCTTGTTTCTTATTCTAGTGTTGCAATATATAAAATTGTTATGATTGCTTAAACCGCCTAGGCACTATGTTCGAGCCAAACGCTTGCCTAGCGCCTTCTTAAACCTTGAATTTACTTAATAACTAAGAACAATTATGTAATTCTATCGTAGTTAGTAAAATACTTGTGGAAATCATATGAAAATTTAATCTCAATTCTTTGGAATCGGTGAATCGCTAAAACTAGCCTTATTTCCAAAAGATTCAAAATTTAATCATATGTATTTGTAACACACACATTCATTACAACACAAGAATTTAATATACTCAATTTTTAAGCGACTCCTTAATTTTTCGAGTGAATTTGTGCGGCGAATTAAACTATCTCAATTCATAATTGGTAATGGTTCTAGACTAATCGTATTAGATCAGGGCAGTCATAGCCAACATCTAACCACATAAGTATAATGGTATATACAATCGTGATATTGAGTCCCTTGAATATGATCTTTAGGACAATCTTCATGGTCAGAGTTTACGACTATGATCTTCGTCTCCTAAACCTGATCTTTGGTTGATTTTTCTTATTTGGGCTACAATTGGCTCGCCTATACCAATTTACCCTAATTTGGCCCAAATCGTGCTAAGCCTTGAATATAAAGCATATGACTACTTCTAGCCTTATATGACACATTTATGATAAATATGGTACAAAAACACGTAAGGAATGAGATATGAAATATGGATAAATGATGTGTTATTAAAATTGCATCCAATTAAACAATTATGTTGTTTGTTTCCACTCATAGCGTTTGTAGTCCAACGGTTAGGATAATTGCCTTCCAAGCAATAGACCCGGGTTCGACTCCCGGCAAACGCAACCTAAATTTTTTATCTTATATTAAAATCTTTAGTGTTTCTTAATATGTAATCTAAATATTATCAATGTGGTGTAATTCTTTTACTTGGGTTGGAGTATTTGATATTAAATTCATTTAATGATAAATATCAACAAATACATCCAACTTAAAATGAATTTTGAAAATAGATCACACTCTTTTAATTTTGAAATGTGGTGCCTATTATTCAACCCGCTTCCGGAAAATCAAGCCATTTGTTACAACATTGGAGCAATATATTTAAACTTAGATGATAGCTTATAGTGAACTGAAATGCTCTCAACTGCGACAACCCTCGACCATCCTCCTCCGACGGTCTTGACCTTGACGGGCAGGCCACCGGACCATCAGGATCAAGGGGGACAACAACAGATACCTCCGACGGAGAAAGCCCCGACCTTGAACTTCAAGGCCGCTCTGTCGGGCACAACAGCGACTCCACCAGCGCAAAACTGTCAATGGACCTTCATTGGCAATCAAGATCTGGAATCATTTACTCACCAAGGCCATCCAACTCTGAAAATCTCACCAGCGCTGAAGGAAAGACTATGCCAACCCTGGAAGAAAACGTTGATTGTCCGGCTCCTGGGGCGTTCAATCTCGTATTCGTATCTGGTATCACAGCTGCGCTGTAAATGGCGACCGGTATGTTCTCTAGAGGTGATAGATCTCAACAACGATACGTTCCTGGCTACTTTTGGAGACGATCAAGACTACCTAAGGGCGCTCAGTGGAGGCCCGTGGGTGATATTGGACCACTATTTGATCGTCCATCAATGGTCCCCTGCCTTCCGCACATCTGACAAGCCACACCATTCGGTGATTGCCTGGGTTCAGTTACCAGAATTGCTAATACACTTCTATCACAGAGAGATTCTTTTCGCTTTGGGAAACCTCATCGGTTGCACAATCAAGCTTGATTACCACACAGAAAACCGAGAGCGAGGTAAATTTGCTGGACTGGCTATTGAGTTAGACATGACTAAGCCTCTTCCCACGAAAATCTGGCTAGACAATTTCTGGCAATCAGTGCTTTATGAAAATCTACCAACGATCTGCTATGAGTGCGGTCGGATTGGGCATCAAGAGGATTCCTGTTCTCACCGTACACAGAACACGCAGCTGCCTACGGTAGGGCTGCAGGAAGCAGAGTCTGCGACTACATCGGCGACCAGCTCTCAGGAACCACCGGCGGGCTTTGGCCCCTGGATGCAAGTCACGCGCAAATCAAGGAGGCAAAATAGGAAAGTGCACGATTCGGGCAATCACCCACAACGAGCACAACATCAAATCTGGGCAGAGTCCGGGAAAGGACATCCAAACAATAAAGGTAAGGGGGGAGAGTCAACAGGGAAAGGAAACAGAGAGGGAAAAGGTAAGGGAGAGCAAATCTTGCAGACTAAGAAGGGAAGTCCTACGAGCCAAAAGGCGGTACTCTCTAAGGAAGAAGAGATAGCCATGGGAAAAAAGAAAGTCCAATCTATTCAAGAATGGAGGCCCATTGGAACAAAAGAGGCCCATGAAGGCCCAACCACCATACAGAATTAGGCCAGGCCGATACGCCTAGCTACTGAGGCATCGACAGCAGGAACAAAGGACTTGGAGATTATCCAAAGGCCACAAACTCAGCAAGGCACCAACATCAGAGTCATCTCGATCCTCGGTCTAGCTCTGCCAAGCAAAGAAAACGTAAACCCCAACAATGGAGCCTCCTCAATTTGTCACCATTATCAGAAGAAAAAGAAGGTTGCGAGAGATGGGATTCAAGAGAAACCTAGGGGAATCAACGTCAAAGCTGTGATGAAGCCGTTTCAGATCAAAAGCCCCAATCAGCGAGCCTCGCCTTCCTTAACCAAGCTCTCGAATAGCCCGATCACGTTGCAAACCATCTAAGAGTTTTGTTCAAAGACTCAAAGCAAGGTTAAGAGCAACTGCGAGCTAGAAATGGCACCCATCGCAGATGTTGCCATGACCGAAACCAGCCAGCCGTCGAAGAGATCTAAAGACCCTAGTGAGGAGTCAGAGCTCATAGTCTCTGAACCCTCAATCTCTCCCCCCGCTTAAACCCTTTCTCCCCTGCTTCTTCTGGGTTTAGTTTAGTTTTTATTTTTTTTTCCTTATCCCTTTTATGTCTAATCCAACTAACTTCAAAATTATTTCCTGGAATGTTTGTGGGTCAGGCAGCACGAAATTCCTTCGTGCTATCAGACTCCTCATCGATACTCACAAGCCGGACTTCCTGATCTTGCTGGAGCCCCAAATTATTTCTTAGAATGTTTGTGGGGCAGGCAGCAGGAAATTCCTTCGTGCTATCAGACTCCTCATCGATACTCACAACCCGGACTTCATGATCTTGTTTGTGGGGATAAAGCAGATGTTGTTTGTAACAAGCTTGGTTTTGATGAAGTCCTTAGGATTGATGCAGAGGGCAGAGCGGGAGGTATTTGGCTAGTATGGAAGAACTCTTTTAGGTGGACCTGGTGAATTCTTGCAGACAACATATAACGGTTAAAATCAATTCGGCTAGCAGACATCAATGGCTACTAACAGGGTTTATGGCAGCCCGGAATATAGACATCATGCCTCTCTTTGGGAACAACTCATCCAGTTCAGCGATTCGCTTGATATGCCTTGGCTGGTAACCGGTGACTTCAACGCCTATAGTGTACCGGAAGAGAAGCTAGGTGCCAGCTCCCCAGCCGCTTTTCGTAGATGTCATCGGTTTGGATCCTGGATCAATCAAGCAGAGTTTATGGACTTGGGTTTCACTGGACCTATATATACTTGGTTCCGTGGAGATTCTCAAGCGACCAGAAAAGCAAGTCGGATTGATAGATCATTGTGCAACGCTAGCTGGAACCTTTCTTTTCCCAACTCGTCAGTTCAACACCTTCCTAAATTGCAATCAGACCACCTACTTTTGTTGACTACAATTGGCGATCTACAGAGCACCACCAGCCCGGGTCACTTCAGGTTTGAGGCGGTTTGGTTGACAGACGAGAAGTTTAAAGAGTTCCTAGCAGCAAATTGGAATCGGGAGATTAGTCTTCAACAAGCTCTAAAGGAAGTGGTCCCAAAAATTCAACAATGGAACAAAGAAGTTTTCGGATCCATTCAGAAAAAGAAAAGGAGACTGTTGGCTAGACTGAAAGGCATCACTGTTCGCCTAACAAACTCCTTCAATGCTGGGCTGCTGAAACTACAGATTAAGCTGGAAGAGGAACTCGACAGAGTTCTAGCACAAGAAGAGCTAGTTTGGTTTCAACGAGCTAAGGAAAAATGGGTTGTCCTGGGAGAGCAGAATACATCGTACTTTCACCACCAAGCTACTCGGTGCAAAAGAAGGAATAGGATTTTGTCTCTCCGCGATGTGAATGGTGTTTGGATTGATGACCAGGAAGCTCTCCTCAATATGGTCTTAGATTTCTACACTACTCTTTATACGGAAGATGGAATGCAGTATGAAGACCGTATGCCTCACAATGTTTTCCCTAGACTTCAGCAGGAAAAGATGTTGGCTCTTCACCGTCCATTCCACATAACCGACATCCACAAGGCTATTTTAGGAATGAAGCCTTACTCCGCCCCCGGATCCTGACGGCTTCCAAGCCATATTCTATCAAAAGCTTTGGCCGATTGTTGGAAAGAATTTGGCAGACATGATTGCTAAATTCTTCGAAACTCTTTATACAGAAGAAACTATGGAGTCAACCTGATCTTGATTTCGAAAATAGATCAGCTAGAGTCTCCTATACAGTTCAGACCCATTTGTTTGAACAATGTAGCTCTCATGGCAATCACCAAGGCAATCACCAATAGATTGAAGCCACTGATGCCGAAACTCATTGCCCTCACTCAAAGCGGCTTTATTCATGGCAGACAGACGAATGACAATATTATCATTCTGCAAGAGGCCCTTCATTCTCTTAGGAACAAAAAAAAGAAGAAGGGAGGGCTGATTATCAAGATTGATCTTGAGAAAGCCTATGACAGGATGCGATGGGACTTCATTCGAGATACCTTGAAGGAAGTAGGGCTGGAGGGTTCTCTAATCAACAGAATTATGTCCTGTGTGGAGGGAAACAAGATGAGGATAAAATGGAATGGGCAACTTTCATATCAGATACTCCCCACCAGAGGAGTCCGACAGGGAGACCCCCTTTCCCCCTTTCTTTTTATTCTTTGTATGGAGAGATTGGCCCATAAGATTGAACAAGCAGTAGAGGAGAAGTTGTGGCGACCGCTTCAGCTTTCAAAAAATGGTCCAAAATTTTCTTATTTATTTTTTGCTAATGATCTTGTTTTGTTTGCAGAGGCAGAGGGGAAGCAGATTGATATCATCAAGACACGCTTAGATGATTTCTGCATCAATTTAGGCCAAATAGTCAATTTCAACAAGTCGGTAATGTTCATCTCACCAAATATACGAAGAGAAAGAGCTCTTAGACTGAGTGAGAGGGCAGGAATCAAGCTCATGACAGATCTGGGTCGCTACCTGGGAATCAATGCTGTCAATGGGAGGATTACGAAAGCTCGATACAAAGAACTCCTCCTTAAAATCCAAAAGAAATTGGTTGCATGGAAAACAAGGCACCTATCTATGGCGACTAGAGTAACCGTGGTCAAGGCAGTTACTTCGAATATAGCAATCTACCCTATGTTTTCTGAACTTCTTCCTGTTGGAGTTTGCAATTCGATTGACTGGTACAACAGAAGCTTCATCTGGGGTGAAGAAGAAGGAAAATCTAACCTCCATTCGGTGGCATGGAACCAATTGACCCAACCTCGGCAACTTGGTGGCCTTGGTATTCGGCCCACTAGAAGGGCTAACCAAGCGATGTTGGCGAAAGGAGCTTGGAGCCTCGCTACAGACAAATACAATTTATGGACAAGGGTGCTAAGAAGCAAGTATGGGAGAGGCAGGAAGGGACTGCAACTGCTGGCACCATCAAAGGGAAGTTCCCAAGCTTGGAAGAGTTTTGCTCAAACAATCAATCTCTTCGCAAAGGAGCTGCCAAAAATGTTAAGAATGGAAAGAAAACTAACTTTTGGCGAGATGTGTGGGTTTTGCAGGAACCTTTAATTACCAAAGCTTTGCTGGATATTCCAGAGGAGACACAGGAAAGAACCGTTGCATATTACTGGAGTGATGCGACTGGCTGGAAGATAGAAGACCTGGTTGAATACCTTCCTGATGAAATTCTGAACAGAATCAGAGTTGTCATGCTTGACCCGCTGGACACAACTGAAGGCGTCCTTTTCTGTAAAGCCTCGCCTAATGGACTGTTTACCACTTCCTCAGCTTAGAAACTTGAAGATCAGCAGCAAGAAAGTCACAGCTCGGCCCACTGGAATAGGATATGGCATTTGATGGTCCCGGAACGAGTTCGACTCTTTATGTGGACAACATCAAAAGGAAGACTAACAACCAATGATATTAGGAAGGCCAGACACCTCACCTCTGATGATAAATGTACACTCTGTGATGCGGATATCGAATCCAATAGCCACTGTCTGCGAGACTGTACCAAGATCAAGGGAGTGTGGGAAACAGTTGTCCCTGCTTCTCAACATCATCAATTTTTCTCTGCAGCTCACGATGAGTGGATGAAGAAGAATTTGGAGAACAGCGAGACCGTAGAAGAGACAGGGGATTGGGCTAGTTTCTTTGCTCTCACTTGCTGGTATATCTGGAAGCATAGGAACGAGTACATCTTCAAGTCAACCAGACTATCCAGCTCCACCCTCATCAATTACATTGTCTCGAAGGCAAATGATTGGATGAGAACGTGGAAGAAAGCTACAGCCATCAAAGACTCTTTAACCAAACCGAGGAGAGAAGAACAGCTAATTGGTTGGATTCCTCCCCAAGTAGGGTGGAGGAAGTTAAACACGAACGGGGCAGCTTAAGGGAACCCATGAATTATTACAACATGAGGAGTCCTTCGAGACAACGATAGAGAATGGATCGCGGGATTCGTCTGCAAGATAGGAACTGGGTCGGCAATTCTAATAGAGCTTTGGGGTATCCACCAAGGTCTGGAGCTAGCTTGGAAAAAAGATAAGCAATTTCTTATACTCGAAACAGATTCTCAGCTAGCAATTGAACTCCTAAACAAAAGAACTGACATGGTGCACCCTCACGCCACTCTCCTGAATTCTATTAGACGTATGTTGGTGCAAAGTTGGGTTGTTCGTCTAGTTCATACGTATCGCGAAGGGAATAGAGTCGCGGACTGCCTCTCGAAGCACAGTCTCGTCTATCCCTTCGGTACTTATGAGATAGATGAACTTCCGACTGATTTGGAAAGAATCCTTCGTGATGATATGAGGGGAATTAGCTTCCCACGACAAGTTGTTATGGACTACACTGAAGACAGCTGGGTTTAAGGTTGTTCTTATGGTTTGTTCGCTGCTTTGGTTGTAAGAGGTTTGAGGGGGTTTTGGTCGACCACCATTCTACACAAGTGACAAGTGAAAGAACTACATTAAAAAAAAAAGTTAAAAAAAAGGATGAATTTTATTTCAAGACATACAAAGTGGAAGCACATTACAATTACAATAGTGGAGCCAACAAGTCGACAATGACAATCCAATCTCTATGAAGAGTATCAAGGTGAGCGAATGTATGTCGACGAGTGACGAATGCCACTGAAATCCAGAAAGCAGCACAATGAACTGAAACAATACACGCAAGGGTATCATTTTATGAGTGAAATGAATATGTTTTTCAAAAATTTATTTATTTGTAATGTTTGGAATATACAATAGGTCAACAGACATCTCAGAATTGAAACGACTTCTCCCTTGCTCCGAAATTCAACGTATGATACTAGAGTACTTCTCGTGTCCAACTTTGTTGACCCAATGCTCCGTCCTATTATTCGCCACCGTCGACCGCTAAAAATCAAAATCACGCCGTTATATATACAACTTCGGTTCCTCTCCTGTTTGTATCTAACTTCGGTGGGCCTTCTTACTCTTTAGTGTCGTGATATATTAAATTGTAATGATTGCTTAAAATATCTAGGCACCACTTAGGCACTATGCAAGACCCCAATACCTGCCTATAGCTTTTTTTTGGATAAATGTGAAATCACTTTATTAGTTAATAATTAAAAAAATAAATAAAAAGAGAAACAAACTACAAAGTACAAGCGCCATCCAGCTTGTGCAACACACATCTCTAGCTGCAGCAATAGCAATTAGCAAGGCAGCAAAAGAAAATTACAAAGGTACCAGAAAACACACAATTGCAGCGAGCAATATCTTGATTCTTGACCATTCCGCTTTGTCAATCCTCCAACTACAGAAAAACTCAAATGAAAGAAAACTAAAGAGATCTCCATGACCTCAAACTTCCCTTCGCAGAGCAAATAGTTGTGCGCTTGTGTTACGACTCCATTGCTTCTTTGCTATGATGAGGAAATAATTTTGCTTGCAGTTTTGACAAGTATTCCGGACAACAGCTCCTTCCACTTAAACCTTTGAATTTGCTAACAACTAAGAACAATCATGTCGTTTTATCGTTGTTAGTAAAATATCTGTGGTAATCATGTGAAAATTTTTATCTCAATTCTTTTGAATTGCTAAAACTAGCCTTACTTTCACAAAATTCAAAATTTATAATTGAAAATAAATTCCTTTATAATCCAAAAACAACAAAAAAAAAAGTATTCAAAAATTTATGAAATTTATTTATACGTAAAGAGTGACTTTGATTACCATTTATCAATTATCCCAAAGGAGTAATTTATTTGAAGGGTAAATACAATTTAATATCCAAATCTTTCATTTTAAACAATATAATAGCCAAACCTTTTCGAAAACAATCTAATATCCAAATCGTCAACTTTTCGTTCGTTTGACCGTTAGTTGACACTTCAAAAAAGTTTTGCTTAGGGGGGAGCAGATCGTGTCAGTAACTGATGGGTCAGTAACCCATCAGTAACCCATTCTCTGATCTCTACGTGTCAGTCCACTTTTTTATTTAAATTAAATGCGGAAGGGCAGTAAGGTAAAATGCACTTATCCCCTATTTATTGCTGACGCGCTGATGCGCTGACTTTTGACCGACCACATCAGGACCTCCTTCTCTCTCATCGAAAAACCTTTAATTTTCCTTCTCTTAATCTTTAACGGACGATTTCTCACTCGTTTTAAGTCAAAATTTAATTTTTTTTGCACAGTTAGATCAGATTAATTATGCTCTTCAAAATGATATCCACTTTGATATTTTTTTGACACAAAATTTTTTTCCAGTTATTACCAGTCTATACCATATGGTATAGTGTGGTAATATCAATATATATTTTCGTTACCACCCAATACCATATGGTATAGTGTGGTAATATCAATATATATTTCGTTACCACCCAATACCATATGGTATAGAGTGGTAATATCAATATATATTTCGTTACCACGCAATACCATACATTACCATAGGGTATAGTGTGGTAATATCAATATATATTTCGTTACCACCCAATACCATATGGTATAGTGTGGTAATATCAATATATATTTCGTTACCACCCAATACCATATGATATAGTATGGTAATATCAATATATATTTCGTTACCACACAATACCATATGGTATAGTATGGTAATATCACACAATACCATATGATATAGAGTGGTAATATCAATATATATTTCGTTACCACGCAATACCATACATTACCATAGGGTATAGTGTGGTAATATCAATATATATTTCGTTACCACCCAATACCATATGGTATAGAGTCATAATATCAATATATATTATCTAAAAGGAAAAAAAAAACAGAAGGAGGGAGAGGGAAAAAAAACTCGTCTTCTATTTTGTCTCATTTCCTCCGCAATCAAGAACACCAAACGCCAAAAAAAGGAGAAAGACCGAAATTGAGGCCAACGAGTTGATGAAGAGACAAAAAACGCAATGAAAGAGGGTGGCTGCAAATTTTCTTCGTCGATTACTGGAGAGAAAAAAACAAAAAAAGAAGAGAAGGAAGCAGATCTAGATATGGAGAAAGAGATTGGAGAGAAAAAAAAGGAACAGAGAAAGAGAAATGATAGATTGAGAGAGAAAAAGGAAGGGAGAAGGAGAAAAGAGAGTTGCAGAGAAATGATTCTCTCTCCTCTTTTGAAAAAGCAGTCATTAAAAGTGGTCTCCTTTTTTTGAAAAAGCGGCCATTAAACTTGGAATATAATAAAAATAAAAATTCATAAACGGACAAAAATGCCCTTCTGGACCCCGCATTCAGCCCAGCCGCATGATTGATCCACCCCTAGATCTACGGTCCTAAGGTGGTTACTCACTGGTGAGTAACAAAGGGTTACTCACCCTATCTCAAGCCTGCTTAGGGGAAATTGTCACAATACAACTTTGTTTCTTGTTTTGACATTGCAGATGACTGAATATTTAGATATTCTATACCATCATGGTGGAGTCATGGACTTCTCGGGTTTGGAACTACGATATGTTGGTGGTTTTTCAGAGAAGATATCGATGGATATTGATGAAGTGTCGTACTTCAAACTTTTTTGAAGTCTCAACTAACGGTCAAACTTGACGATTTGGATATTAGATTGTTTTCGAAAAGGTTTGGCTATTATATTGTTAAAATAAAAGGTTTGGATATTAAATTGTATTTACCCTTTATTTTATTACTTCCCAAAAGAGTAAATTGATGATCCGGAAACTATGCAAAGATTGTGGTCCGGAAATCCGACCGGACGGGCGGGCCGGGTAAGCCATCTGGCCAGTCTGCGCACTGCCACAACGGCAATCTGATCTGTTGTTTATTGGCAATAAATAATCAATAAATGTGTCAAAACATTATTTAGTCCATGTAAAATATAACTTTACGAAAAACACTCCAAAGCTATGATCTTATTTTGTAGTCACTCAAATTACAAATTCCATTCAAATTAGTGTACAATTAGTAAATTACGTTCCATAAATGCTTACCAAGCACATCCAAGAGTACTCACATGTAACGTATGCATGAAATTCACTTAGGGAAAGTCTTGGCTAACTATATAATAAAACTCCCAAAAACGGTTTTAGGCTAGTTAGTCAATCATACTCGAGGCAGTTCCCACCACCTATTTTTCACATTTATTTATACGAGTGCGACTTGATATTTCCGTAGGCATTACATTATTGAGTTTGCGTTTTGAACTGAAGTAAGATGTTTTCTCATTTCGATTCAAATCTTAAATCTCTCAATTCTCTAATGATCTAACATTTAAAATTTAACAAAGCCAAGTTAAGGAAACTAAAGAAGTGAAAATTTCAACAATATGAATAATCAAAGGCTAGTTACGTAAAACATGAATAGAATCATCGACGTAAAAATTAAATACAAATAAAGGTCGTCTGATGTAAATCCAGTAGTATATTTAATTATTTGTTAAGGAAATACAATACAGGGAGTAAAACTGTAATTAGCCCTAATAAATGATACACGGGGTATTTGCGTGTTCTACTGTTCTTCTCTCACATTCAATTAAAAATTTAGAGGGGAGAGAGAGACGACGGAAATTCCAGAGCTGCAACGCAATGGCAGAGAACCACCACGGAGTCGCATCTCAGTAGCAGCGGGCCACCTTCTCACTACTCTCTGCTTCGTCTTTTTTTCCCTTCCTTCCCCACAGCAATACTTCTTCCCCAAAACTCTCTTCCTTAACGCCATTAGAAATAGTTTGTCGTTGTAGTTGTTGCAGCTATTTAGTGGGCACCCATTATCCCTTTCCCACCATTCAACCAGCACAGCACAGCACAGTCCATGCGGCCTTCCTTCCTGATACGCAATCCAATTTGCTCTGCTTCACAATCCGCCATACCTTTCCCTCCAAATCTTTCCGCCCATTAATCAATTTCATTACTGTTCCTCATCTCCTCGAATCTCCCGAAACCCGTCCTCGAATCCGTAGTATTTATTGCCCGCCCTTCCTTTCTAGTCAATTCCCTTCTCTTCTCTCTCTGTCGGTTTCTCTCTCAGCTCTTTCGCTTGGTCGTGTGGCGTGTTGCTGTAGTTTCTCTTCTCGGGGAGGAAGAGCCCATGGCGATTGCAGCAGCTGTCATCGTCCCGTTGGGGGTTCTCTTCTTCTTTTCCGGTCTAGCCGTCAATCTCATTCAGGTAACCCACTTCCATTTCCGGGCGAGAGTTTGATTCTCTTTTGGTTGATTGAGAGTTGATTAGTTCCGAAATGATTCTTGCTTTCGACTTGTCTCTTTAGGGTTCTCTTACCTTTTTCTTGGTTGGCTCGAATATGGAATCTAGCTCCATATCTTCCTTTTCTCCATCTCCGTCCCCTCCTTTTTTTTAATTTTTTTCTTCCCCTTCCTATCCGTGGAAATGTAACGGGAATGGTGTTGTTTCTTCAGGCAGTTTGCTTTGTTCTCATTCGGCCGCTATCAAAGAGCACTTACAGAATCATCAACAGAGCCGTTGCCGAGTTACTATGGCTGGAGCTCGTTTGGATCGTTGATTGGTGGGCAGGGGTTAAGGTATGCACTTACTTCTTTACTCCCCGCAAACTATTTAAATCTCAGCTTTGGATTTTGCTTGCTTTTAAGTCTTCCTGGAATTGGGCATTCATTTGGGATTGGATTGCTACTGATGCTGCTTCTTTGACCCTCAATTTCCTTGGATAAGTGAATTATCCGATCCTTCATTAGCTTAGCATTCAATCAGTTTTCTTGTTGTAAATGTGGTTGATGCCAAATATAGTTGCTAAAAATGATTACATTGGCCTTGTTACGATGTGATAACCAAATGAGCGGTCAAAGGTTGTCTAGAAATGCTGGATCGGCGGCTACCCTGTACTGGGTTCTTTTTTGTATGTGCAGATTCCTTGCAGGCTGTGTACTTTGTTTCTTCTGTCCAAGTATTTTAATTTCTTGTGCATCCCTTCCCTTTGCATACTCTGTCTGTTATTCAAACTTCCTAAGAAAGCTGTGAATAGCGTAAAGACTGAATGTATCTGGTTGGTTGTCTTTTGGCTTTGCTCTCTAAGCTAGAGAAAGACTGAATGTTTTTGTGTTGTTGTGTCTGCAGATTGAATTGTACACTGATAGTGAGACATTCCACCAAATGGGTGAGTCCAAATCTCTTATTGGACTTTGTTGTTAGCATGTGTGTCTTTTGTTTAGTCCAGCTCGGAGGTATTTGTCACTGAAATATAGCAAACTGCGCTTATCATCACCTTTGCTGGTTTTGTGGTACTTTCAGGTAACGAACATGCACTTGTCTTGTGCAACCATAGAAGTGACATCGACTGGCTTGTTGGATGGGTTTTGGCACAGGTGAGGCCTTATTGCTTAGTAACTTAGATTGAATAGGGTGTCTGAATTGAGGAAGTTCTGCTCTGGAATTGTTACGATGTTTTGCTTCATCATAATTTAACTAACATCCTGTTATTCCTGATTACAGAGGTCGGGATGCCTTGGCAGTGCCTTAGCTGTTATGAAGAAGTCACTTAAACTCCTCCCGGTATGATTCAGGACTTAGAATTCATATTCGGTTGGACATTATTTAGTAAACAATGAACTCCTCAGTCCGAATTCTTTGTCACTGAGTGATTTGGAAAGAACTGAAGTCAACTTGTGAATCCGGAGACAAATGAGCATTGTAAGGGAAAAGAACATAACATGCTGAACAATAGTTTACGATTTTATATCCCTTTTCAAGCCAGAGATCTTCAACTTGTGAATTCAGAGACATATAAGCTTAGTGAGGAAAATAACATAACATGCTCGGCAATAGTTTACGATTTTATATCCTTTTTCAAGCCAGAGAGGAACATTACATTGTTGTGAATTCAGAGACATATAAGCTTAGTGAGGAAAATAACATAACATGCTCGGCAATAGTTTACGATTTTATATCATTTTTCAAGCCAGAGAGGAACATTACATTGTTGAGACGGGATAAAATACATTCCTGGTTAGGTGATTAATAATTTCATGTTTCCTGACAATCGAATGGGACCTTTTTTTTTTAAATTTTGAAGTTCTATTGCAATTATTTTTAGTTATTGCCAGCGCATATTCCCTCTCTGTTAGTGCTTGCATGTTAGACACTTCACACTTGCATTTTCCTGCGTACTGACTGCTTATAATTTTATTCTCAGGTCATAGGCTGGTCCATGTGGTTCTCTGAATACCTATTTCTGGAGCGAAACTGGGCGAAGGATGAGAGCACGTTAAAAGTATGCCTTCAATGCTCACAGATCTAAATAGTAATACGTAATTGTTATTTCCTCACCTAAAAACAAGTTCGATTATTTACAACAGTGGACAAATGTGTCTGTATCTCATTTCGCTGCTACATCTCAATTTATGTGCAGCTTTATCCTGTTCTGATTGTTGTGTCATTCTACCTGCAGTCAGGTATTCAGCGGCTACGTGACTTTCCTCGGCCCTTTTGGCTGGCTCTTTTTGTTGAAGGAACTCGTTTTACACAGGCAAAGCTCTTAGCTGCACAGGAGTATGCAGCATCAGCTGGATTGCCTGTCCCTAGAAATGTGTTGATTCCTCGTACTAAGGTCATACTCACAATCCTTTTTTTGCTTTTGTGGTTTAAAGAAAATGGGTTCAACAACCATTGATTTCTTGAACAATCGTGAATTGGCATATATCCAGTGGTAAATATTTTCTTGAAATCTGGCATGAGGCAAGTATGAACTGATGCTTGACTTTCTGATATGCTTGCCTGTCAGAAATTCAGGATACGATAAAATTGAAAGAAAGTATAGAAGCTTAATTTTTCAGTATCTGGCTGAGCTGTTTTATTTGATTTGGAGGGGGATTCATATCCAAGGCATAACCTGAGTGAGTTTTGATCACGAGAGCTAATTTTAAGCAATCTTTGTGATTATGTTCCTTCCTGGTTTTGTAATGTTTAAAATTACATTTTCTGCTTCGCAATGACACCCTTAATATGGAGTTTTGAGTCTAGAAGTATTTGGGGAAGAGATAAGCGGTGCCCTCCAATTTCTAGCTTGCGTTTTCCACTCTCCAACTTCAAAGTAGTGAATGATTAATAGAGTTCTATTATATACATTGCTTCTGATATTTTTGCTGTCATGGGTGCGCTTGCATATCCTTTCACATTGTCTTCATATCCTCTAATTAATCTGAAAGAGAAGCTCAAAAGAACACAGGATATGTAATGATATTTTGTATTCTTCTCTGTGACTTGGGTTAGCCATGTACTTAATTTATGTTGCTTGCAGGGCTTTGTTTCTGCAGTAAGTAATATGCGAACATTCGTGCCGGCCATTTATGATGTGACTGTGGCTATCCCAAAAAGTTCACCTCAACCAACTATGATCAGACTGTTCAAGGGCCAGTCATCTGTGGTAAGTAAGCGCAAGTCTTTTTGTTGTGTCATTGATGATTCTGTTTTGATACATGTTCGGGAGTAGTTGTTTAAATGCAGCTGACTTCTTGGTCACAACCCTAAGTTTGTGATGCAAAATTTTATTCATTCAGTTACCATAATCTAAAAGGCAAAAGGCTGTATATGAAATTTCTATTGTGCACAATATGTAATTGATGGCTTAATTTGGGTGTGAAAAGTAAAATGAGCTTGACTTCATTTTGTAAATGGAAAGAACCACTGCTGATTTTCAACTATGATTTCATGAATTTTGGAATCTTAGGATGTGAAGTAAATGTTTATCTTTTTCCCTTGAGACTTGTTGGTAATCAACTGTGGAATGATTTGACTGTTGACTTAATCTCGTAGAGAAGATCTACCAAACTGAATGTTTTCACTTGTTTATCGCGAATTAGCATGATGGTCGAAGACATTAACAAAAATATGCCGTTATCTGCTGTTTCAGGTTCATTGCCATCTGAAGCGGCACTCCATGAAGGACCTGCCTGATACAGACGATGCTGTTGCACAATGGTGCAGGGATTTGTTTGTGGCCAAGGTGTGTGTATCAATCAAACTGTCCTTGATTTTCTGATATGGCATTACTAAAAGCATGCTTAGTCAAAAGCCAAATGTTACCTTGGGGAGAAAAAAATCGTGCTCAAAACCCGAAGGTCTCGTAAGTTACTTTAATGATCGTTGACCTTAATGATGTGGTCCTTCAGCACCTAAAAAATCAACCCATAAATATTGACAAGAGGGATATCAGGGGTAGTGGGGAAAATAGCAGTGTTTATGTGCATTAAAAGTATCCATGTCCTGATATCACCTGTAGCTACTGTATTGATCTGGTTATTCTTATTATTGCTTTTAACTTTGGATACACCAGGATGCACTGCTAGACAAGCACGATGATGATGGTACATTCACAGACCAAGACTTAGTAAATATGGGCCGACCTATCAAGTCTCTTGTGGTGAGACGACGAATACTCTATTTAAATGGATTCATCAAACTACTTTACTTCTTCCCGTATCCAAGATCAAACTTGTTGGTGCTTCTGATGAATCATCATTGTTTTGTCTCCCTGCCCTACTTCCCTCACATGTGGTTTCATCATTGCGTGTGTATGTCAGGTTGTCACTTCATGGGCATCTTTACTCGTCTTTGGAACCTTGAAGTTCCTTCAATGGTCCTCCCTTCTATCCTCCTGGAAGGGTATTGCCATCTCTGCAGCTTGTCTGGCCATCATCACAGTATTGATGCAGGTCTTGATTCGATTCTCTCAGTCTGAGCGTTCTACCCCTGCCAGAGTTGCTCGGAAAACGAGGCCCCAGAATCAAGCGGGAGGAGAAATTTCATCAGATGCTGCTGCAGAACGTAACGGGCACTGAACTCAGCCAATCTGTTGAGTGCCCCCTGGACTTTACTGTTTTATGGTTCTAAACTAGAGCATGTTTCGAGTTTTTATACTTTGAGAACTGTGAATCGTTTTGTTGTGGTGCTCTGCTGGTTAGTTAGCAACATATACAATAGAACCTAAAGAAGAGAACACAAAAAAAAAAAAAAAAAGAAGGGCTGGGTCGATGGATTATTGGGCAGTGAAATAGGGCAAATTGCTGTAGATTGTATCTCTGAGATTTTAAAGTCCAGAATGTATGTATCCGTGCTCAATTTAGGCAAACATCAGTCTGCCCTTTTTTAGCCTTAATTTCCCTTGAGCTGCTGCACTTACATTTGTAAGCTTTTAAAGCAGATTCTTGAATTGGACTGGGTGTATTACAAGCGCATCAATGTATTCACTTGTGAAGCAAAACAATTAGGTTACCTGATTAGTTTCAACTAGGCTGCAAATGAATTGAGGCGAGTTTTAACCTAATTTGAGTTCGGCTTGTTAATAAATCAGCCGAGTTCGAGATATGCTTGTTTACGAAAACATTGGCTTGTGTTTGACTCGAACTTAACTCGAGCTCGCTTCATCAATTAGCTCGTGAGATCGGCTCGGGCTTTAGATAGTATATCATTTAATTCATAATATTTAATAGTTCATGTCATGTTATTTAATGGTAATTAGTATTTAAACAATTTATGATACATAATTTCGCCCTAAAATTATATATGTGGCATATTTGATCACATGCTCAAATTCTAAAATATCATGAGACCATCAATATATTCGATCTGTTGTAATTCGCTATGGACGATGGACTAAATCGTTGCACACCTCTCTTGGTTCACTAAGCTGAAAGAGCAGTCTATCCACTATGAGCTGACCAAAAATTCACTTTGCAAGATCTCACAAGGTTGTTATGGGATTTGGAGTGGCTAATTGGCATATCAACTTTGTGATTCTCGAAGTATGATGTGTTTCGTGCCATGCAAGAAAGCCAATGCAACCTATCTATAGGCGCATAAAAACCAGGCCTCGGTTCCAGGCCCAGCCCAATTGTCGCTCCAACGCCTAAAGCCCCAAACTGCATCACCCACCAGCGTATTCGTCCCAAAAAAGTGAAAAACAAAACGGAAGAAGCAAGAACCAGAAGACGGACAAAGGGGTTTAGAGAGCGAGTAAAAAACGAAAAACCCTCGCAAACTCTACTCGATTCAATCAAACACTAAACAGAGGTGAACCGCGAACAGGGCGGCCCTGCAGAACCTCGCCGCGTCTCCCTTCTTCTTCAAGCCTCTTCCTCCGTATACCTCTTCTTCAACCACGCTGGGACAACCTATTTGCTGCTTTACGGAGCTCGCTCTCGTTCTCTACACTTCGTCTTCTCCTCCGCCGCTCCAACCTCATGGCCGCCGCCGCGGAGGTACGCCGTCTCTGTTTATCTCTCTCCCTGGAGTAAATATGCCAACGAGTATTGGGAACTGTTTTTAAGAATTTCGTATCGTCTACTTGTCGGCGATGAACCAACTACAACGGCACTGCTTGCTTCACTTGATGAAGCTTCCATTGCTATTTTCCAGCTCAGTAGTTGTTTCTTTTGTGCGGCAGGTTGTGACCAAGTCGATTGGCTCGGTAACATTCAGCGTGTTATCGGCTGACGAAGTTCGGAAGCAGAGTGTTGTTAGGATAGCAAACCCTGAGTTGCTTACTGGTGATCCTGGCTCAGCTCTTAGCCGTCCTGCACCTGGCGGTCTATACGATCCTTCTCTAGGTCCTCTTGATTATAGTCAAGACAAGTAAGCCCTACAATTTTTACTTGACTTTCATCTTTAGGCATTTTAATCTGTTGTGTCTGGGTCTTTGAACAAGACGGGGTTGTTATTTTCGACTGTGGAATCCAATTGTTGTATGCATCCTGCTGACTAGAAGTGTACCTAGTTGTAATGGTTAAGCCCTCAGAGAAACGAATGGTCGTAGCTTGCAGCCTTGCACATTAGCATGGTTCTAAAACAAAAGATTTTCCAGTGGAATAGGGAAGGCTTATATGGGTTGTTGGTAAGGCTGCTCAATCAAGGCTAATTTTCTTCAATTGTAATGCAGGTGTCCGACCTGTAGCCAGAGACAAGATAACTGCCCAGGGCACTGTGGCCATATTGAGCTAGTTTCTCCAGTCCATAATCCTCTGCTGTTTCCTTTTCTGCACAAAATCTTGCAGAAAACCTGTTTCTTTTGTCATCACTTCAGAGCAGCGCATCAACAGGTATTTTTGACTCGTATTTGAAACTGATGCATTTATTTCAGCTGTTTCATATTTATTCAACCACTGCTTCACGTGTATACTTCTCTTTTCCCCTCAGATAATATTGTTTCTTATGTGCCTCTATATACTTTTATGTTTTGTTTCTTCTTGAAACTAGGTTGAGAAGTGTGTTTCTCAGTTGGAACTCATTGCAAAAGGAGATATTGTCGGGGCTAGGAGATTAGATTCAGTCTCAACAGATGAGCCTTTATCTGCGGATGAAAGTGAAGCAAGCCATGGATCTGCCTCTACAATTTATTCAGGAACCCAAGACCAAAATGATAATGATTTGGAGCCGCAAGGATGGACCTCCCTTCAGCTTGGGGAGGCTATGTTGATCTTGAATAACTTTATGAGGAAACCAATCAGGAAATGCCAGAACTGTGGTGCATCGAATCCTAAGATTTCCAAGCCTAACTATGGATGGTTTAGAATGGTATAGCTCCTAATCAGTTTCGTGCAATTATTCAAGATTTTACATCATGTTGAACATCTGCATATGCTAATATTTGTCTTTATTCTGTTCATTGGTTAACTAAGAGTTAAAACTATGCTAAGATCCATTTGAGAAACTGTATGTTCCTATGAATCAAGTAAAAAATGACACAGAAGATCAATTTTTTTTTATTGAAGTTACGCTTCGCCAATTGTGAGTTGAAATAGTACCTAAAGTTTTCAATTTGAGAGGTGTAACATAGTTTTGTCATAATAAAAAAACTGGAGCAGATATACTGTTTTTGTACTTGTTAGATATTTTGCGGAAGTTTCCTTCAAACTATTGGTTGGTGTGATTTGTTTCTATATCATACTGGGATTAGTACTTTCTCATTACATACATAATTTGAAGTGCTTGGTTCGGTAACTATTACGTAGGCGTTCAAACACGGTAGTGTACAACTATGTCTTCACATATTTACTGAACAGAATGATTGCTCTGGGAATAGTTCAAACAGTACTTCCATTGATCCCACAAAACTAGAAAAAAAAAAAATTATAGTGTTTAATGAAGGAAAAATACATTGATGCCATTAATTTATTGCTGCAAGTGACTTTTTGTCAGTCTCAGGTTCAGTGTAGTTCAAATGATTCTGTCATTAGCATTCTGCTCAGGTGCTCTTTCCACCATTGAAAATTTCCATTTCCCTGGCACGGGAAGCATGGAACAGAGAATGGTATTTTTAATTGCTAGTTTACTGATAAACTCCTACAATTTTTATCTAATTTAATACTGTTTAATATCTGTTTTCACTGGATGCTAAGGCCATCATTCTTAACTATAAAATCAGTTCATTGTCCCTAGGGAAGCTCTGACGTTGTGCGATGTATCAGCAATATCCTCATTTCAATTAACGTGCTTTACGTGAAGGAAATTTCCAGTAATCATATGTTTTCATCTCCTTTCTATTCCCTCTATTTTATTAAGCGTCGTGTTGTTTGAGCTTTTCTTACTGCAATAGGTATGATGAACCATGTTCAATCTCTTGAATCCAAATGGATTCTCCTCTCATTTTCTTGCTTGTTACATGGTTTCACCGGAAGCAACACCAACATTTGACTTCAAGAAGCATCTTGGAAGCTAATAGTGTGTCTAAGCTTTTATTTTCATGCTTCAGCGTTGTGTGTATATGACTGTATTCATAAATATTTTTTTATATGGCTCACTATCTAATTCTGGGTTTGTTTCTACAGACTGGGATGTCAGATGCTGCTATCAGAGGAAATATAATAAGAGGCCGACAACTGGTAGGGAAATTGGATGGTGAGGTTGATGATATTGAGGATGTAGAAGATCCAATTGGGAATGCTGCAAGTGGCAGAACCACAAAAAAACAACATATAATAAATGCTGATCAAGCACTGCTTTCTTTCACTAGGCAAAAAGATGCAGCATCCTGCGAGCTTGTACCATCAGAGGTACACTGGTCGCCTTTGTTGTTGTCTTTAATAGTTTATCTGTGTAGGAGTTCTGATAAAATCTATTTCATATCTTGCACCTTATTACAGGTAAAAGCAATTTTGGAACTTCTGTGGGAGAATGAGTCTAGGTTCTGCTCGATAATGAGTAATATTCAGCAGCAAATATTGAGAGGGAAGAAAGCTGGTCCTTCTATGTTTCTTCTTGAAGTCGTTTTAGTACCTCCAATCAAGTTCCGTCCTCCTACCAAGGGTGGGGATTCAGTAAGTCTGAAATGTCTATTTTTACAACTTCTGAATAAATTGTGCTGGAAAATGTTTGTAGCTTTTTGGAGGCTCGCTTCTTCGTTGTTCTAGTCGATATTACAATGGACGAGTATGTTTGGTGTTGTTGTATTAAACAATTAGGAATTGAGTTAATTAACATGCACAAGTTTGTGAAAACATATATTATCGAATTTCAGGGCAGGTCTCTGCTACCTTAGCTTCATGCAGATTGACCCTTACCTTGATTTTCACTGTCATCGCACCAATTTGTATAATATTGACACACAATCATTCTGTCTGGATGTCAGGGATGTATTTGTGTTGGAAAGTGCCTTTGTTGTATCTGGATATTTAATTTCAACGTTAATCTACCTAGTTAATGTTGTTTAGTTTTTATTTCTGCCACTGCCTGTCTCTCTGAATTACCTTCCTTTTTCTTCTCTTCTTTTTCTTATTTCTTGGTATCCTGTCAGAATTGTGGCAATCGTGGAACCATTCCCCTTATTTTGCACAATTTGTATGGA